GAACTGGAATGGAGCCAAATTTAGTCTGTAGTCATAGATGGGGCTGCTATATTGCTTACACTGTTTGTATAACAGTCTTGGCACTAAGACTAGATGACAAGAAACAATGCTCACATTTGAAAACAGATATTTCTAGTTTATTTTCTTCATTCACCTCTTACTACTTGGTAATGCCTGTTCTCATATGTTCGTTTAGTTTTGGTTTTTCAAAGTGACAATTTTCATTTCTGCAACAACACACAGTTGGTTAAAATAAACAATTATACTGACTCAGAGAGCAAGAAAGAATGACTATGACCCGCTCTTCCATATTACACAGGAGAGGAATGTCTAAAATAGCCCCAAAAAATTTACCCATGTGAATCCCAAGCAGTTAATTGCGTCAGCCAACATATCTCCAAGGAGTGAAGGCCAGGAAGTTAGAGCTGGAAAGTAGGCATGCATGTGTGGACTTTGCCAATGGACTACCTAGGAACAGAATTATGCAGAAGTTAAGTCTGAAAATGTAACAAAACTTTGCATGAGATGTAGTGGTTAGTATCTGTTTAAAGTGAGAGAAAAGGATTACAGCAAAATAATGTGTGCTATAACTATACATCTGCCAGCAGAGAGCTGCAGAGATAATATCAACAGGAGAGCAGCACTAGCAGATGATAACACTGCACTCTTAACAGATAAATTGCAAGTAACAGCAAAAGTCTTTATCTGAATTAAACAGACAGACAAAGATTCTGAACAGGAAAGAATGTTGTGACATGTTTGAAAGACCAGAATCAGAAAGATTTATCAAAATATTTATCTTTATGAAGGGGATCCTTGCAACAAAGTTGCTCATTTTGTCAAACAACAATTTGCCTTCAGCTATACACAGCAATTTACAACTATATAAACCCTTCCATACACCTGAAGGAGCTTGTGTGTGGGACACCAGTGTAAGTACATGTAATCTCATTGCCTCTCCTACATCAGATCAAGTTTCTGCAAGCATATCAAAAAATTTGACAATAGACTTTGAAAAAGCTTCTTACATAAAGCATGCCATTTGGTAATATGAATTCCCATAGCAGAATCTGCAGTATTTATGTTCAAGAGGAACACTTTTACATTCAAAGCATAGGAGACAAGTCTTATATGTACATGAAGTTGGGCAAGAGTTGTTTCACCTCGCTGTGCTGAATTTCCACATCCCTGAAATTAAGATTATATAGTTCAGCAGGTTGAGACATTGTGAAGCTAATGATTTTCTCATACTGGTGCATTTGTTTCCCTATAAGCAAATATGAGTTATATACAAAGTAGTTAAAAAATACACTCACAATCTAACCCCTAAAATTATAGTTAGGAACACAACTGTGGACATAACATCTACAAGATTTATGCTACATTTTTGTGTACATTACTTATTTAGAACAATGTTCTGCAGAACTTATGCATTCCCAGGATTTGGTGCTCATCCCAGGTAGAAACAGCTTTTTCCTGTCATTATTGTACTTTCTTACCCCTGGCATAATAATCTTCTCTATATCTCCAAAGATGCTGTCCCAGCTGTCTGGGTCCATTGGGGCAGAGTCTGGCAGCTGGGCTCTCATGTAACCTGGCTGTACATCAGGAGTCACCCGTCTCTCTCTCACATTGCTCAGGTACTGGCAAATATAATCCACCATCTCTTTCCCTAGAAGAGGCAAACCAGTGTTTTCAGTTTCAATTAATGGAAACACTAAATAGCAGTACCAGCACTCCACACAAGCTATCCTTAGCATTGGACAGAGGTTCCAATAGCATTGGAATACTGCTCCCAGCTCCTCCCTCCTACACCCTACTTGTCCCATCTAATAATGTTCTAAAAGAGGTTTTTTCAGGGTTTTGTCATCACTGACTAGTTCAAATGTACCTTTAAAACACAATCATGGTAAAAGTATAGTTTGGTTACTGAAAGTTTAGATTTTCTTGCCTACAAATTTACTGAAACTGCATTTCACAGGAATTAAATTTTCATAATGTCCTACACTTCTTTGTCATTATAGCAAACCTCCTTTTGCATCCTCTGAAATCCTCTGCATAGCTCCACACCTTTTCTCCACTTTTTAAGGCAATCTCCTGCAGCCCTGGAATCAAAGGTGGCTCTCCATCTCCAGAACTGTCCAAATACCACTGCGGTGTCAGCCACTGAAGAGATACTGTGCATAACCCCTCAGCACAAGTTTATTCTGAGTTAGAGTTTTGCAGCTTTCCCACAGCAGCTTTGATATAAGACCAGAAAAGATGTTACCCACAGACTCTAAATCCATTAATTTAAACTCAACCCTGGGACACATTTTTGTGTCGGCCTCAGCAGTTCCAAATCTCAAGGAGAAGTGCACAAATAAGGAGTATATAGCCCATCCTAATTTTGGGTATCACTCGCAGCCCTACAACAGTTGATCTCCACGAGCAAATGATGCCTGTTTGCAAGAGCCACAGATCACTCACCTCTCTGTCTGTACTCCTCAGGCTCCATACCGATTCCTTAGGAGTGCTTTTCTTCAAACCTGGGCCACAACCTTTTGGGAGCTGTGGTCAGCTTGGTCTGGTGCCCTGCCAGCTGCTTCCCCCTTTATAGCTCCCTTTATCTCTCAGACTCACACATTCTGGCAAAGGTTTAACAGGCAGGTTATTGGTGAGTGTTTATCTAACTCCTCCCAACTGAGGGTTTTTACAATCTCTCATGTTCTCATCTGTGCTCTTTTGATGTGTAAGATAGTGTATCACTAAGAGGAGCTGCCTCTGCACTTTCCCATTTTCAATCAGTCTTTCAGAAGTCTCACAGTAATCCATGCCTTGAATATAAGGCACATTAACATGAGACTTGTGGGAGACAAAAAGCTCAAGAGCTTTCAAAACCAAATAAAATGTAGCAGATGTTACACCAGCACAACCAGCTACAGTGCTAGCAGTAGCCATTAAAACCAGTACCAGCACAGAACAAATTTGACATGGGAGGCTGAGACTTTTCCTAAGAACTGTTTAGAGTACTCTTTTTTCCCCAAAAAAAGAGTATACCTACATCCCCACAAGTCTTTAGTCCTTATGCTGTCAGTCCCATGCTGCTGGAAGGAAAGGCTTCACAGCTATTTCCAGTTCCAGAACTACAATGTGAAGCAGTACACTGTGGATTTCCTTTTTGTGGATTTCCTGCCCTTCAGATCGGAGCAGGTTACACTAAGCAGGGCTATTCCTCCATGAGTATCACCCTAGACCACTGAGCTGGGAAAATGCACCTTTTCCCTCACTGTGCTTTCTTTTCTCCATATGATATGCATAAGCACTGGGATTTAGTCTTGTCTCTCCAGAATTTTTCCAATCCACCTGGATTGTTCTCATTTTGAAAGAACAACCTCATAGACTGCCTCTTGTTCCAGTTTTAGGACCTGAAAACACATCCTGACCTCTCTTTGGAAGCACAGTCTTTGACACTACTCAATGTTGAATCCTTATCCATCTTCACTTGCTCTACACTGTTCTACTCTTGCTCAACCTACAGAACAGTGTTAAACCTTTCCTAGTCTCTGCTGCAATTAGGTACTTGAGAAGAAACTGTTTTATAGATATGAGAAAGATGCTCTCTCTCACACACACATATCAGAGACTAATGTACTGAAATTAAAAAATCCAATAAAAAAGCATTGAGAGATGTGCAAAAAACTACTATATGCATATTTATCGGTTTTATCCCACATTGCTCTGGAAACATTAAGAAAAAAGTAACAAGCTGCCCACATGTTTAATAGGAACTTACTAACATCTCTTGGCTCTACTGTAAATGATCCCATAAAGGGGAACAAGGTAAGAAAGAACAGGCATCAAGCACAGGACCAACACAAAATGAGCCCAAAGTTCTCAAAAACTCTGATTTGAGCTCATTACAAGCGATTAATATGCTAATATATATAGCCATCTGTTCAAAGAAACAGATGATAGCTAATTACGCTTAAGCTTTTAATTTGGAACAGTAAATAAGGAACAATATTTTTAACAATGTTTTCAGAGCTAAACTATATAATATTTCATGTAACATACACCCTACATTTTAGCTCAAAGGTGATGGATTCATTGGGTTGATCTTTTGTTCTGTGCAGAAGAGAACAAACAGCAGGTCCCATTCAGAACTAAAATAAAATAGCTGATAACAGATTACAGGTAGGGTAAATATTGCTGGTGATAAATACAGTTTTGTAACAGCTACACTGCACTCAGAAGGGTTTTGTTACAGACAATGAGGAATAGAATATTTGCTCACAGGAAACAGAATGAATAGAAAAGGTTCATTTCATTGTTTGCTGCCAACATCTGCTGTCACAACCGTGGGAAACTCTCCACTTGGATGTGAACGTTGCCACTATCACTACTCAAACACTGCCACTCTTATCATTATTAAAAAATCAGAGATTACACTGTTGTTAAATTTGTGGGATGTGAAGACACAAACATTATTTTGATCGAAAAATAATTAATTGGAGCAATGCCTAAGAAGCACATTTCCCTTGGCTAACTGGTTCCTCAGTCTGCTACTGACATAACGGATAGTTCCTGAAAAAAATCCCTAAAATAGAGCAATTTCCAGTTAACCATTGCACAAGGTTTGCTTCAAGTCCCAGTACTAACATGATGCTGTCCTTGAAAATAATTCTTCTAAAACCCACCACCATAGATTTCCTGATTTGATATTTTGATTATTTTTAGATCGAATTTGCAAATCAAAATTAAATTTACCAAACATACAATAATACAAAGATGTTTAGAATTTTTCCTAACCACCAAATCTATAAACCCATGTCAAATTTTGACCAGTTTGGCAGTTTTTGTACAGTACAATGCAATTTTTTCCCCATTCCTCCCTCCTACCATTTAAGGCCATTCTATACCCAAAACTGTTTTTTCATGTTCTTCCAGATACCTAACACAGAACAGCTTTGACCTTCTCATTCACACACAAACCAACTGAATTGATTCTACACTATATATATGTGGAAAAGATATTTAATTGTAAAATAGAAAAAGTAGGCCAGAGTACAGTTTTAAGGGTAATTTTTCCGTGTACAGTATAGATAAACCAGACTTTTTGCTTAAGTTTATATAAACAATTCCATAAAAGCAGTGAACATGGAACAACAAAGCAAAGCACAAATAGTTTTATCTTACAAAAAACGGATCTGCACAGTAGTTCAGAATTTAATGTAACACAGCACTGAACAATCTTAAGGCAGCTCAGTCTAAGCACAGGACTAGAAGCCAGGAACTCCTGAGATCCATTCCCAGGTGACCACAGGTGCACGCGGTGTTAAGCCAGTCATTTAACACTCCCTCATGTTGCACTTGAACCAGTTATAAAACTGAGACAATAACACTCACTTACCTGCCTCAGGCAGTGCAGTAAGGGCTGTTTAAAAGATTTTACAATGCTCTGAAGATGTAACGTGCCATATAAATTTTAAGCATAATAGATCACTGCACAGACACACACAAACACAGTATCACAGTGAGGAACAATGATGCCGGGTAGGAAGAGCATCACTCTAACATAAAAAATTACTTGTCCAATTGCGTAATTAAAATGCAAAAGTCCGTTAAAAAAATGTATCACTGAAGTAATTTCAAGGCTATTGGGGAAGAGATCAACAGGGTTATTCTAAAATAGCTACTATTTGTGTTCCAGTGGAGATGTTATTTTCTATTTATTTCTGAACTTTAAAATATTTGTACAGGAAAATTGTAAGACAAACAAAGGGAAGTTTTAACACCTCCACTACCAAATTTTGCCTCTTAATATGTAAATTAAGATACTTTTTTGTTCTTCTTAATTACAAATTACATTCTTCCAAGAAATATACCATCCACAATAAAACTGGCTGCTAGCTTACTTCAAATGACCTATAGGCTAAACATTTTTCTCATAATTTTTCTCATCTTTGCTGAAAAATACCTATGCAAGATGTATGTGTAGAAATTATAAAAACATGCAGCATATGTACAAACTGAAAAGTTTAAAAAATATTAGCTTCATATACATGTAAATCTACTTGGATATATCTGAAATTAAATATAAAAATTTCACCACCTAAAATAAAAAAAAAAACAACCAAAAATGGTTTTCAGAGAATCTGAGACAACTACTTAAAGCTGTACAAAGATTTCCATCTGGAAATGTCTTATTCAGAGAAGTTGAGTTGTTATCATGTAGAAATAACTGTTAATTTGTTTTGTCACATAATCAAATTTCAAATTGTCAGCTTAAATCAACATCACCCTTAAAACTGTTCTGTTTTTCAGAAGTTAGATTCATACTAAAATCAAAAATTTCACAAAAACATTGGCTTTTCATGTTTCTGGATCCCTTCAAAAAGATTTATCAACTCATTTTGAAACTGTAAAAAAACCAACTATTTACAGTATTTAATTTTAAATACTTTTCACAATTTCTAAATTCAGAGTTTTTATGTTACAAGAAATTAATCAGAGCTCACGGCTTAAGTCCAGTTATCAACTTGTAGCATCTTCTCTATCATGAAATCCCATGGCTGTACCTATATAGGGTACAGTTCAAGATTGTACTGCAGGTTTTTGAAAGTAACAGGCTTTGCAGTGTGTTCATTTTTTATTAAACAGCTTCTTTATTAGTCTGGAGGCGGTTCATTGCCTCCAACTTCTGCCGATAAGCCTCTGCTTCTTGTTCCTTCTTTAGAAGCTGCTGACGATATTTTTGTGCTTCTCTGTTTGCTTCATCCAGCTGTTTCTGAAGAGTTTCTCTTTCCTATTAGAAACAGAACCAGCAATATTTTGTCAAATAAGTACCAAATACAAGTTAAAATGGCAAACACTTTTCCTTTACATGCAGTTCAAGTGTTAGGGTAGCATGGAGAAGCTGTTCAGTTCTTACTCGGGCAGACCCTATGTATGAATGCTGCTGTGCAAATTACAGCCCAATTATCAACCAGCCAGCTCCCCACACAGGGCTGCAAGTGTGGAGACAGTAAACCCAAGTCTACTGAGCTGCAAAGGTACTTCACCAAAAAAGAGCTATATGAAAAAAGTGGAAGTGCAGTGATTAAGTACTAAGAGAATATGTTAACATTTCTCCAGTCATTCAATCTAACAGGCTTGTCCCTTGCTTTTCTATTTCTAATCAAGACAGTAAAAATGACAAACTGTTACCTATCAGCCATCTGCACTGGAGAGTGTCAGCTGCCCACGGACCAAAGCATAAACCTAACTGTTTCTAAACAGGGATTAACACTGAAATCCAGAGGTCAAATCATATCCCCAAGGACATTGTATCTCTATGAATTAACAGGCAATTAGCCAGATAAACTTTTTTCCTTTTAAAAGCAGCTAGTACAGAAATCCTTAAGTAACTGCAGAAATCCTGCATACAAGCTTGTTGGGGGTGGATATAAAATGGTTTCCAAGCAAGATGATGTGGGAAATGCCACTTCCTCTGAAGCTGCCTTAGGAACTAAGGAGAATGCATTTCTATCTCCAGTGATGTAGGTACTGTCATTTTGTCTGATGTTGCTCTGAGCCCAACTGAAAAAGCAATTTGCTTGGGAAATAGTTTTGTTTTGATCACATATTCAATCAAATACCACTTCATTGAAGTGCATCATACTTTTATGAGTAAGGTAGTATTGGATTTAAAATCATTCTTTCCACTGTAGCTGTTAAGTAGGAACAGTAAGGAAGGATGCCAGAGAAACAAACCATCTCCCAGAAAAACAACTTATCAAAAAACTGAGGTCCAGTGAAAACAAGTTGTCTTTTCATCATATTCCCATCCCAGCAGTTCAGTATCACATTCCCATTTAATACCTCTAACAGCTGTTAGAAGTTTCAGCCCCCCACACTCCCATAAGAGCATCCCTATTCTTCATCTCTGATACACTCACATATTCTCATGGTCAGAAAAATACAAAATACTCTGCCTCCCTTCTACTTGCTACTTCTCTCAGTACTTGTCACAGTCACATTTAGCAGTCACGTGTCAGCTGAATGTGCTGAAGAACAATGACAGAGGTGGTCAGATCATTGCTAACAGCAGCACCTGAACAGCAAAAGCAACAGGTGAAGGACATGTTATTAAACAGGTTATAAAGAGACTAAGCAGAACACAGAACAAACTCCAGTAAGTGCAACTTGATTTTCCAAGGGGCTTTAAGAGCTGAAGGCAGCAGGCTAGGGTTCACCTCATTTGGAGCATATGCTGATAAAAGGAGAACTCATCTTATTTTGCTTATTTATTTGAAAAGGAAGTTCAGCTTCCACCTCTGAAAATTTGGATTTTGCTTTTAAAGCAACTTTATGGATGCTCAGCCCATGTAGCAACTAGACTGACAGATGCCAAATGAACAGCAGAGCCTACAGCTCAGAGCATCTGAACCACACCAACAATCCTCCAGCACCAGCCCAGCCAAAATGTACTGCTATTTCCAAAAGTTATCTTTGTAGTATGAAGGGACAAACAGCTTATGTAAAACAGCCTCATGGATTGATGAACAGAGCCACAAGACAATTCCCAGGGAATTAGTCAAAATAGTTGATCCTTCCACATGTAGAAAGCAGCCCTTCCTTTTTGATGGCGGGGATGTACTGAGCTAGGTATTATCTGTCCCATGAACTGGTCATCTCATAAAAACCTCATACTACTGAGAAGTAAAGCTGCTCGCTCTACTGGCCTGCAGAGAAATAAGATCATTGGTAGTTCACTGGCAAGAAGTCCTGTGGTGCATTACAAACAGCGAGGTGCTATCACTGCTATGGAATGTGTGCAAACATTTGGGAATGGAATGTGGAGTGTGCGCACACTGCAAACATTTGGAGGTGGGGAGGTTCTTGAACAACATTTTAAGAGTATTTCCCGCAGAAGAGAGAACTAGAGCTGAGTACCCAAAAGTAGTACAGCACATTAAGGAAAGGGCAAGAAAAAAAAGGGAAAAAACCCAAGTCTCCATGGCATGGCCAGAAGCTAAAACCAGGATCTACTAGACAGACTAGCAATTCAAAGCACATAGATTAGTCCAGCTGCTAACAGGTGTAGTTTTCAGACCGTCACAGCCCCAACAAGCAGAATGAGTTAAGGAGATGAAACCAATTCTGTGTGACTAGGCAGTGGAAAGAACCCAATGCTTCTGGAGGAGCAACACATATCTTCTGTGGACTCAATGGTCAAAACTGGTTCTCTAACTCTGACATCTAGAATAGGGAGGACTATCTCATCTACCAATTTAATCAAACCCAGAAAGTGCTCTTGGGACATTCTTTAGAATACAACCAGAAGTGTTCTAGAGATCTGCAGTCCTTTTGTATCCCCTACCCAGATAAAAATCAAATTAGAGGATGCTCAGTGCTCTAAAGAAATCTTCCATTTTACCAGGGAATTTTCTTCATTACATGTAACTTTCCATTGACAATAGGAACAACCAGAAACTTAAATAAGCAACCACTCTTTTAAACAACACAAAGACACAGGATATGAATCCATGAATACAATTAGTTTACAATTATGATTATTTTTTAGTCTAATCAAATGATTGTCCTGGCTCTAAAGCATGTCACCTTTCAAACATGCAACATGGGAGAAACAGTCAAATTAAAGAATGAAAATAAAGATCACTATATGTTAATGAATTATGCATGAAAATGAAAAACAGAGTATCTGTGTGACAGGGTTTTTTTGCTGCCTTGCCATGTTTAAAATATCAAACTGCTTAAGAAAACGAGCTGAAATGTTTAAACTTTACAGACCCAAAATAGAAAATTTAAAACCACCAGTACAGCTTTAGTTGTTCCACAGTACTTTCAACAATCCTTTCAACAGGGAAGTTTGTCACCTCAGATGGATGGGAGGATTTTCAACTACAAAAACTCTCAAACTACAGTAAAATATTCACACACTATGAACTTAAACAGCTGAAAAAAGTATTCAGCCTTGAATCAACTCTATAATAAAATAAAGGAATGAATTAGCATGAGGCAAAGAAAACAAACAATAAGTGTTTTCTTCATTCTAAAGTATTTCCTTTATTATTATCAGAATATTAGTAAAATATTCTAAGTATTTCCACATTCTAAAATATTTTTAAAATATTTTGATGAGGGGAGGGGTCCCACTCTCTCCAAATTTAAATATCTACCGTTGTCTGTGATGAAGAAATTTGAAGTGAACCAACTCTGTGTGCACTTCTTTAATGCCACTGCTACTAAAGTAAGGTAGCACCATTCCCCTGTGAACCACAACAAGGCCCCTACAATCAACTGGCCTTCACACAGAGGCAGAGGTCTGCATGTGCATTTCCAGCTGGACAGGCAGGGACAAGAAAGTCATCAAAATTCCCACTTAAAAGTAACAGACCAAGTAACTCGTCTAAACCATCTCTCAATATTTGAGAAATAAGTTTAAGATATATAAATAAATCTGGTAAGCCCCTTAAAAGAATTACTGGTATTGTTATACCAATTACCTGTAATTAGGAACAGGTCAATTTATCCCTTAACCAATCTGGATTTTTTAAAAATTCATTTAACAGAATTACTAAAATACTTAAGGAAATATAATTTCCTTTATGAATAATTCAGGCAGATTTTTTAAAGTGTGAACAAAAGAAATGCTTTTATTGTAACAGTCATACATTTTTAAAAATGCAGCAAGAAAATTTCAACTGTCAGGATAATCTGTAATGACCACAAAGCTGCAAAGGCCAGAAGTATTTGATGCAACAACTTAGGGACATGGAAGGCAAATGATGAGAGGTGATAATTACTGTTATTAGACATGGATAACATATAGCACATACTGTACAACACAAAGTATTCAATTAGGCACAATTTGATAATATGAACAGAAGTTGGAGAATACAACCTTTGATAAATGAAGTATCATGGGGTTGACAAAATGAGAACTTACAGTCTAGACAAAGCAGATAGCAATTTTCATAAACTTTTGACCAAAACAGGTCAGCACAGTTAGAAGTAACAGCAAAAGGAATGAGATGGTTGACCTTTTGTGGCTAGTATAAAAAAAGCTACAATTTTAAACTGAACAGCTACATCCATTTGTCATATAAAAAGGAAACCGCTCTCAACATTTTTAGGTCTTTTGCAGTATAGTTTTAAAAAAACCGAATGGTGCAAAGTTGTGTAATAATAAACTGCTTCGGAATTAAAAAAAATGTGGGGGATGCCACATAGATAAAAATTAACAAACACAGAATCTTACTGTTTCACACTTCCATCAGCTGTTATCTAGATACCATGAATGGAAAGGAAACATTGCTAAAAATGATCTCACAATCAGAAGCATGTGGCTGTAACAGAAAGATGAGGGTACTGCTCTCATTCACTCCTACTGGAAAGGGTCAGGTCACTTGATAATGTATCAGCACCCAGTTTTAAAAACCAGCTAGTGATCTTCAAGAAAAAAAACAAAAAAAAGTTCTCATATACTTATTCATGTCACTTTTACATGCATGACCACAGGATCAAGCAAACAGCCCTCCTATTTTCTTTTTACAACTTTGTAAAAGATGAATTTCAGTTACAGGAGAGACTGAACAAGTTAAATGTTTCACACACTTCATTCTGTGGTAACACAGAAATTAACCTCCTGAACAATACAAAAACCACAACCAGATACTCAGTCCTGAACACTGTTCAACACAGATCATGTAATATACTCCTTACTTCTATTTCTGCAGACTCCACGCGATTTTCAACAATCTCAATGCACTGTCTCTTCACTGGCGGTTCTTCACTTATTACAGTTTCTTCAGCAATGTCTGTTGCTGGAACTGTTAACACTGAAAACGTATTTGTACATGTAAATACATTTACTTCAAACAATGTTTGCACTATATAGAACTTGTATTATTTAAGTAATTTTATTAACAGCAAAAATGGAGATACTTTTGCTTGTGGAAACACATCTATATAATAAAGTGCACGATAAGCTCAGTGAAAATCTACTAAAAACTTTAATTGCTTGTATGCTACTAAAGAACCTTAAAATTCCTCATTATTGAGGTCCACAGTAATTAAGTTCTGGAATATCACTGCCATTTTTCACAGAGTACATAGACATGGCAGAGAACTGCAGCAAAGTCAACTCTAACTTCTGTAGCAGATCATTTATATAGTGTTTCTTAAATAAATACTAAATACAAATCTTGCTTTTGTTTTGATTAATACACCTTAAGTAATCTAAAAATCCAGTAGTTATGAGCCATGAATAAGAAAAGTAGGGTTCTCAGTAATGTCATACTCTAATTCTAATTCAACATCTGACAAATAAACCTGTCACCTCAATTACTATCTACACCCACTCACTCATAATGATAACAAGGTGTACTAGTTCAGGCAGACCAAATAATTTGCCTCCTGTGTACAACTCTTCAAGCTTCACACTGGGAGTCCTCACTAAGAAACCAGAGAAGGGATCATTTTTATATAAATAGTGGCAGAGCATCTTTAAAAGAAACCACCCAAAGCATACACATCACAAAGTACAATTTATCACACTAGCAGCTTCTACAAAGTACATATAGCCAAAAAAAACCAAAAAAAAAACCAAAAAAAGGTGTGCCACTCTAGTTTCACTTGTTCTGTCTAGTGCTGCTCTAAAACTTCAGGCATGTAAGACCTGACATTCATCAGGTCAGTGTGTCAGTGTATTGACACACAATGGGACTTTCACACGTTGCTTCATGCATCCAATTTCAAAACCCAAGCCTCACCTCCCCACAGTACTTCCAGCAAGGCAACAGTATAAGAATTAGAAGGTTCTTGTTTTACTCCATCTTCTATTTTTTGTAACGAGTTTGCAAAAATCAAACTTACTGAAGGCAAAGCAAGTAGTTATCACTTTTCAGCGTCCCACATCTTCTCCATAGTTTATTGTCTCTTCTATTCTCTCCTAAAGCAGAGGCTCAGCTGATGTATTAACCCACTGAACTGCAGAGGCTTTTGTCTGAGCCTTCTCTAACGTAAGAATTCACAGAGGCACACAAAATGATCCAAGCTATTTGCACCTAAGAAGTCATTACTGTAGCTGAAACAATTCCTAAGGCTGGAATCATACAAGTGTGCACTCACCTTGCTGCCCATCTGGCATGGTCACAATGATGGGTTGCCCTATCCCACTGGTCGGAATGGAATGCAGGTTACCCAGCTGAATGCCGTCCGTAACTATGGTAATAACCTGCTGACCTCCAGAACTGACCACTTGCTGAATGGCCCCATCCACAGATTCTGCAGTCACAACTTCTTCTGTGGCCACAACTAGCAACAGATTAGTAAAGGAATTGAGACAATTTATAAATGAAGCTTTTATGATTTCAAATGCATTTTGGTAGAGCTGAGAAAAAATTTCTTCCATGGCTTTCAAAACTTGACCCCCCTGATGGATACTTTACTATGTATTATATTTTAAAGAGAGTTTTTCCTCAGGCCAACATAAAGCACTCACATTTTGACATATACATGCAACACTATCCTCTCTCAATAACAATATTAATATACCCCACTCAAAACTGATGCTTTGGGTTCAGTGCTAACAAGTCAGCAAGAACAGGAGCTGCTTTTAAGAACAAAAAGAACTTTTGCATTGCAAACAAACTGGACTAAGTTACACTAATAGCAGAATAAAACAAAATTAAACTTGAAATACTACCTTGAAGCTACTTCTCAACCAATGCCTTGCCACTGTACCTCAGGACCCAGCCCAGATTTCTCTACTTAATATAATGGTCTTCAAGATGGTAACAGACTAAAGGACCCCTAGAAAATCTTAAAAGTTTGGTCTGTACTCCATGAATACTCCATGAATACTTCAAACACAACAACTTTATTTCTTATACAAAGTATGAAACACGACTAAAGGAAAAGTTCTGCACAGCTGACATTTTTACACCTTTGGAGAAGAAAGATAAAGCTTAAGCAGTAAAACAAACCTTGTATATAATTTTATAGGTAAAAGTGAAAAATTCCAGTTCAACTATCCATTTCAAATTCATGATTCAATAATGAGTATAAAGCAGTGAACTCTCACAGTTCTGTATCACTTCTACAAATGAAGGTAGGACAAGGAAAGCCTGAGTTCAGAACTACAGCACATACCCCAGTGTGCAGTGTATGCTGCAAGTTGCGTATTGTGCTACCATCCTTCCTTTTTTAAAACAACAAGATGCTGAGACAAAGAGCTAGATCACTGGTACCACAATCAAGGAAATTCAAGAACACTAGCTCTGTATTTTATTTTCAATTTGTCAGGGTAAAAGCAAAGCCTTTGATTTAAATAACAGACAATAGAGTGCTCTCTATCTACAGGGATGAAATTAAAACCCTATAGACTGTGTTGTGATGTTCAAGATGACAGAAGCTAGATAAAACTCTGAAGCTTTCATCTTTTAAGTTAATTACAATATAACATACACAGAAAAATCATCCTGTAGTTGAAATAATGACTGCAGACATCATCTTCTGAAGATCTTTATGTTTATAGAGATTACCGTCCTGTAACACTGCTTAAATATTCACAGAGTGTTTATTCAGGAAACCAAAACAGCGACTCCCACATGACTAAGTGGTAGTGTATTGAACTTGATTTGGCTTCCAAGTACAGGCTCAGCAATAAGAAAGACCACTGTCACAAAAAAGTCAAATTGCAAGTGCCAATACTAGATGATGTGGCAAACAGCTCTGATCTTTCAGCGTCAAATTCAGTGTTGGGTTTTATTTCGAGTTTTTGCTAGAACTTCTTCAAACCTTGAAAGAAAATGGAAGATTTGGTCTAAACAGAAGCTATTCTGTATAAAAAGAAAAATAGCCCCATAAATATGGCCATTATTGCTTCCTTGTTCTCCTTCTGTATCTATACCCATAGAATCATTATTTAGCAGACTACTTCATGCACTGAAGGAAACCTGATGTACTTGAAATTTATTAAATTAGTTTAAATTACTTAGCTTTCTAACCTGGTGTTTCTGAAGAATTAGACAGTGGAGCTGATGCTTCTGCTAAAGCTGCCAACGTAGCTAATACTGATGTTGATGAATTTCCAAACTGTACAGCAGACACTCCTGTTTCATCTAGAAGGATGAAGAAAAATTAGCTGATAAATTTAAAACCAGCAAAGTTCCTTTTTCTATTTTTATTGCACTGAAACTTCTAGCACACACTCCATTTTCAGCAGCATTCTGCTGAACTGAAGTGCTATTCTGAAGTGAAGTTTGTTAAGCAAATAGAACTTCTGATAATTTATGTCTGTGAAGATTGTTGTTTTAGGTATGTACATACTTACAACACACAAAAAATACTGATGAGGAATATGGTAACTATTCTTACCGCTGTTTTTCCTCAAATCTTTTCACTAAACGGTGAAAATCAGTGAAAGTATAAAATCCCAGTAGCTACCCCTTAGGCATCTAAACACCTGTTCTACTGGATGTATTTGCAGAAGATACCAGACCTGTTAGGTTCACCACCCCTCCAGGTCCAATGATGAACTGCGGCGTGGCTGCATGTATCGTCACAGTGTCCGGGCTCTCGGGATTTGTATTGATTTGGTTCTGCATTGCAATCTGGGACACAAAGGTAACAACATCATTCCCACTGCAGGTATAAAGCAGTTATTGACCTTGTGTAAGAGCTAGAATTCTTGCATGCTTCACACAAACAAGGAGCATCTCCCTCATTACACTTACGCAATACACATACACTGTGTCATATCTCCAAGTACATAAGAAACTTTTTTTTGGTTGAAATCTAAAGACAAAGTCTGTTAAGAGTGAAAGAGTTTAAAACACACCACTACTTTGCCCTACCAGTTATCGTAAACAAAGAGGACAAGGCCCTTTTGCAGATATGCAAGCTCACTTATCTAAAAGAGAAGTCTGAAGAATCAAGACTGCTGGGGCAGATACATGTCGTGAAAAGCTGTTCTGACAGTTTTGCAATTGCCATGAAATGTACGTGGCAGTCTTTTTGTCTTTCTATGAATTATTACTAACTTCTGTTTACTACACCCTTTCTGTAATCAGGACGAGCCTAAAGGCACACACCACAAGTTCAGACATTTAATGACATAGGGAGGCTACAGATTTATACAGTGGCATAATATTTTTCATTTGCTTTACATTGTTCTTTCAGTAAGCCTTATCACTTGATTTACCTTTTAACAACACTATTGAACAGTGAGCACATATTTCCATGGAATTATCTATTATGATCAATTCTCCAACAATTCAATCTTAGCTTTTCTAATGCTGGAAAACTTGGCATCTCTTCCCTCCTGTCTGCGTTCCAACTGTTAGGAAATTAATATCCGTGTATGAAGCCAACTGAACACTAGCAGATAGTCAAAATATACTGTCAGAGAAGGGAGTTATTTTTTTACACCTCTATTGTAAAGAGTCCATCTACCTCTGCATATTACATCCCTCAAATTTAAGAAAATAAAAAACTTATCCTTGACTTTGTAGGTGGTGAAAATATTTTTAACCAAGTAATGTTTACTAACAATAATTTCATTTCATCTAATGAACTAGACTGGAGTCTGGCATTATCAATATATGGTGTCACAGCTGCTACAGTAAAAGCTTAGTTTATGACGTGTAATCAAGTACTTTGCTCTAAGTTCCCTTAACATGAGGAAATTAAAGTTACCTGTAATATTTCTGCGATGTCTTCATTTCCATTGTCTACTGCAATATCTAATGCCGTTTTGCAAAATTTACTCTGAGCGTGAACATCCGCTCCATACTTTATCAAGAGTTCTACAACTTCTTGGTGGTGATGTTCAGTAGCCCAGTGAAGTGCAGTCATTTTGAGCATGTCCTTCGCATTGACATCAGCACCATGCTACAAACAAGATCATTGCATAAATTACGTCAACAGAAATATCTGAATTAAATAATGCTGTCACAGAATGAATCCCAAAATTGTCTTTCTCCATAAGTAATGCCCTGTTATCTCATATTTACATATTTATTAAGTTATCCAATCTGTCTACCAAGTACATTATTTACCTAAAGCATATCTTTCTTCTAAAATTTATTACTAAATACAGTATCAAATTAGGGAGTATTCTTATTTTGATACAGCAGTAAATAATTCACCTGAAATCATGATGATTTTAATGTAAAATAAATTACAGTTCAATTGGAAAACAAAGCTCCCAATGCACACAGTTTAACTATTTGTGTAATTTCAATGCTGGTTTCATGACTAAAAGTGAATTGCAAATATACATATATATGATCGTAAACCATTGCAATAACCCCACTTCTTGTTTCAGTGGTTCCTACCTTAAGTAAGACTTCTACTATGCTGGCATGGCCTTCGGATGCTGCCATATGTAATGGAGTTCTGTCCACTTTGGTTCTGGCATCCCGACTCACACCTGCTCGCAGCAACACCTCTGTGGTGGAGTAGTGTCCATACTGTGCTGCTAGATGAAGCGGAGACGTTCCCAACTGTAATGGAACACAAAATATCCAGATCTAACAGATGTCACTACATATATTTCTTTTTGATGTCAAGCCACCACTTCTAAACCATTTTCCCTTGCAGTCCCAAGCAGAGAAGCTGTTGAGGCTGTTACAGAATATGAAAGGGGGAGGGAAATCTGTTGTCGCTTTCTTTTTACTGTTTTTTCTGCATTTTTGATGTGTAACATTTCAAGGGGCCTAACCCCATTTTTAGTGTTGGTCAACAGGGACCTCTGGAAGTCAATTAAGTCCAATCTCCTGTTCAAAACAGAGTTAATTGGAAAGTTAGGTCACTAAGCAGATTAAAGCCCTTAAGAGCTTTTAAATGCCATAGGAATTTTGGGTACCTGACGTCTCTCCACAGCCTATTAAAAATCAGCATCTCCAAAAGACAACTCAGTACCCCTATATCTCACCTGCACATATTAGGCAGTTAGGACTGTTTGCATTTTTCAGACCTCTTACTATACTAAAGGCATAAATACAATAATTAGGATTGTTGTAAGGAGGATGATTGCTGCTTTTTCCCATTAACCATTCCAAAGTTCATCTTGAAATTCACCAGAATGAGCTCATTCACAGTCTGTTACTAAAATCAGTAGGAGGTCATATGAAGAAACAGAGAATTTTAATTTTGAATTAGCTATTAGATGATGTGAATGCAGAATTCCAAGAAGAACTGTAGTATAAATGCTAAATTGTAAGAATAGTATTTCTTTTTTCAAGGAAGCTAAGATGATTTGCTTTCTCCAAAAAAAAACTTTCTGCAAAAGTTTTCATTACCCAGTCTGTGGTAAAAGGTGCTCCATTTGCCATCAAAATGCGAACTTCATCATCTTGACCTGCTCGTGCAGCTTCTAAAAGTTTCTTTCCCAAATCTACTAGTGACATCTAGTGAAGAACATACAGGAATATAAGGAGAAAATAATAACGTTAACACTATTTTAAATACATACATATTGCCTTTCTTTTTTTTAAATTATTATTTTTGAAGTACTCTGAAAAGTTCAGAAACTAGAGCTGGTATTTCAGCCATGAGAACAAGCTTTATTGATTGCAATAAGCAGTTTGATTTAGAATTACTTTTGCCAGCTAAACAGAACTGATACTGATGCAAAGATTTCAGTATTACAATGCTGTAACCACTGTAGCTGTAAAGTTAAACAAAATTTAAACTGATACACATTTCTTATAGCAGAAGGTGGTTTCAAAGCTCTCACCTGACACTGTAACCTTCTGCAGCTTTATCCAGTTTTCAAATGGTACCACATCACGGTTGCTATGCCATGCACCCAAAGGCACTACATCCACTTATCCAAAATGCCCACATGTATTTAGGAGGCACCACTATGTACCTGCACTAAGTATGAAACACAACACCTTTCTGATATCATCTCCATAACTGTTTTTGTTCACCCTAAAATATAATTTCTGTACCCCTAGATGCAAAATGTCACAAAAAGCACATTATTGTACTACGTACAACAGATACATAAAATCTTTGCCTGAAAACAATTATTACTACCTGCTTTAACTGTCTACAGTTACTAAAAACACGTGAAGTGCAAAATTTTGAGACATAACAGATATTAGCTGAAAAACCATCACATCATGATTGGAACCCTTTTTACACCACGGTTCCATATAATACTTGCAATAATATATGTAGACAAATTACACCTGTTCCTGTTGCATCAAAGATTTGCTTGAAACACAGTTTTTAAACTCATCCCATTTCACAATTGCTATCAAATTTGTTTGGTAAAAAAATTAGAACTAAACCATAACTTATGATACTAACCAAAATATACTACTACTAACATTTTAGTATACCTATAGCTATGTTTTCCACTACCAGGACGCTAAAAATGGAATTGCTTTCATCAGTTTAGTTTCCAGTCACAAAGTTAAGCCTGTATTGCTAATAACAGGAGTTATGAGGCCAATGTCCTACACAAAGTGAAGAGTGTACCAGTCCAGGAAAGAAATCCTATTAAACACACAAATCTATCACAAAAACAGTACCTTGTACCTGGCTCCACTGGCACATTGCTCAATAAACTAAAAGCTGTTGACTTAGGAAGAAACTATAAAGGAGACCAAAACACTGCAAATGCAGTAATGAACACATATCGGTAGGGCTGTGAATTAGAGCAGATTACCTCTGTCTACAGAACTGACTGCAGGCAGCAATATCCCTGTCACCAAAACACTCAATTTATGTCCATCCTTCTGGTACATGTGAACACATTGATTTGTTTCCAGCCAGAAAAGGGAAGAGAAGCAGGAAGGTGGCAGGCCAGAACAAATACTGACAATGGGAAAAGGAAGGAAAAAAGGAACACAGATGCAGAGGAAGGAATAACTGCTGCCTCTGTTCCATAAAGAGCAAAAGAGAAAATCTAGGAAAGATCCTAAGGAATGGAGTAAGAGAAAATCTGTCACACCTGTTAAAGAGAGACATTAGAAGTAACAATACCAAACACAAGGCAAGAGATGGCACTTGGCAAGTACAGCAGTGAAATGAAGGGATAGAGCATTCCCTTTGCATTGCTTTTTTTCCCCTAGTGAGGATTGCAAGTTAAGGAGGAAAAGTACGCTCAGAGCGCTCAAAGACGGACTTCCTTTTCCTGGTGGTCTAACATCCCCACATCAAGGCCCTCAGAAGCAAAGGAAAGCTGGAACTTAATTCAAAATGCTTGTGTTACAACTAGCTCAGAAAGACAACTATCCATTATCCTTATATTTATTTTTGGTTTAAACAGCAGTAGAGCAAAAGAATTAATAAAATTTCATTTTGGAATTGCAGAAAAATTAAGGCTGAAGAGGACCTCTCAAGGTCACCTAGTTCAATATTCCAGTCAGAGCTGGCCCAGGGCTCAATCCTGTTAAGTTTTGAATGTCACTCTGGATGGATGACCATCCTACCACTTCAGCCTCATTCCAGTGTCTAACTACCCTCACGGAAAAGCTGTCTTCAGTGCATACCCATCTTCCCCCACTAACCAAAAAGACACTCATAACAAGCTTGTATTTGATGCCTTTTAAACTGAAACAGGCAAATTAGTCTGTACATTTTAACAACCTATTCAGAACCCACTGCCCACATCTATACACGACTGAAATTAACTGTAAAGTTGTTATGAAAACCCTAGGCAGCAAAAGTCAAGCCATCCCCCCCAAAAAAATCAATTATGGTGGCCTGCAAAATACCAGTTTCATTCCTAGGATATGTTAGGTACAAACTTCCATTAACACCTTTTCAGAGCCCTCCTGAACTCCCTAAACTACTCTGGAGCACAGTCAATGAAAGCACACCAGTCCTCTTCTCAATGCAAAACTAGATAGCTTTATACTACACTTGATAAAAAAATGTTCTAATCAAGGAGAAAAAGCCTTTCATTACTGCATATTCCTTACATTAACCAACACTCTCTTGGTTGATATAAAGTGTTTGTATTTTAAACAAGCATAAAGCATCACACAGGTTGGTATATACTACATAATATAGAACTTTAATTTCAGTTAAAAGGGAAATGAATTAAGCTTCAGTTCTCATGGGGTACTTGGAGGCATGCTTGGGCCATCTAGTGGAAAAAAGAAAAAAACCCAGCAAAATTCCACTGTTCAACTAAAATAACAAAAATCCCATTATATGTCACTAATGCACTAACAGCAGCAAATGAAGAGGCATTTCCACCAAAACTAAGACACATTTAGTCACTTTAAACCAATTAATACTAGCACTCACAAAATTTCTGAAGAGCTGATTTCCACTTGGCAGTCCATTCCAAGGACCAGTACTGTGAGAAACCCCCAAGTAACAACATACCAAACTTCCCCTATACTCACCCACAGCACTGGGACATAGTGAGAAGGGTCTGCAGAGTCACAGCCTCCCATTCCAGAAAACCTTTCCAGCTGCTCTCTCAAAATCACTCAGTAACACTACAATAGTGCAGTGATACTATCACAAGCAAGATACAATAATACATTTAAAACTGAAATGAGATTGCTACTTCAAAGAGCACTCTGCTGCTACTCCACAGTGTTAAAATCAACTCTGCTGAACAGTGTTAGAGGGTTCTCCTCACTGTGGCATTTCCATCAAGCTCTGCTAGCATGACAGCTGTGTAACACTTTGCATGAGGACCTTTACGGAGAATAAAAACATCACTGGCTCTGAAATAAAGACTTGAGACTGTTGGAATTATTCTTATGGCAATGTGATAATGTTTTCAGACTTCTAAGAGCTCCTACACAATTGTGTGAAGAGAGGGTTTTGTCTACAACTGAGTAAATAGGGAAGAGCTTCTGCTGGGTTTAGACTTCTCTGGATTAATCAACTCCTGAACTTCCACATTACTGCAATGTATTCTGCACAGTATCATTAGCCAGATGCCACAATTAACAGGTAATTTAAAACAACGTCAAATTATTATTGCTATTGTACTTATGTTCAAAAGAAAATTATACTACTTTTCACATCCATCTTAGATTTAGGTTTTTATACACTCTAAAAAACTCTGAAGATCACACCAGAAGGGTATAGAATAGCACTCAACAGGAGTTTAGGTGGAACCGTGTGTGAAATAGGCTCTGTGGGAAGCAAGTGGAGCTAAAAAGCCCGGCAACTTGGGATGCCTGGGCTGCCACACGACAGTCTACAGACAACAGAGCAGCAGAGTCTGCAGTCCAAATTAAAATTAATTTTGGCTTAAAATGTTGCAGCATCTCTCAGACTGGTGTCCTGCCCCCAGAACCCAGATCTGTTCCACTCCTTTTCTATCACTGCAGTGCTAAGCATCAGCCAGTCAAGATCAACAGGCACAAAACAGCTGTTGCAGAACATCTGCCAGCATGGAGAGCTCCCAGCCCAGCATTTGTCCCAAGGTGCATTCCCAAAAGGGACATCCTTACTCTAGAGGAGCATGGACTGCAGCAGTGCAACTTATCAAAGGTACCCAAATCTGTACACACCGTATCTCTGATAAGGATTTGCAATCACAAAGTTCCATTAAAGGCTCATTTAACACTTTTCTCTGCTCAAATGACAGATGGCAGAGTTGTACTTAGAACAGCTGTCTGAAGACCTATCATATCTCATTCATTACATCTGGAAAAAGAATGTCCTTTCAGAGTATCTTTTTCTTTCCACTACTTAAGAAAAAAACAATTTAACCTACTTCACCAGACCTGACCTTCACAAATGCTACCATCCTACTGATTTCAACATCTCACAGTATTGCGAGAAATTCAGAATAGCCATTTCTAGCAAATTTTATGTGCCTGTACATACCAGGGTCAATAACATTCTGAAGTACAGCACAGAGCAGTTAGCATCACTTGAACACTTTGGCATCATTTTAACGTACATAGCAGTGATTATAGCAACTTACATGGGATAAACTCAAAAAGTCCCTGTTTGGTTTCCTACATGAACCACACATCTTTCAACAATGATTTCACAAGCGATGCTTCAAATCTTAATACAAATATCATAGGCTTAGACTATCCACATTTCTACTGATAGTGAAAATTACACTAATACGTTAATTGCAGTCAGCTTTAATTCCAGTGCTTTCAGCTTTCCTGACTGTTGTAACTACATTCTCTATAGATTGCTTGAACAGCAACATGACCTTCATGTCAGACAGGCATCAGATGAAAAATACCTGATCTGAGAAAAGCAAACATTGTTGAATAGCTCAGAGCAAAGACAGCCAGGCCTGTTATTAATGCAGGTATGTCCTCCTATAAGGCTCACACATTAACTTAAATAAGCACCAATCAACAATGAACTCAAATAACAGAAACTGCAGAAAAGTCTTTTCTTACAAAGGAGAGCACAGATTTGGCCATGATCTGAAACATCTAAAGAGTGTTATTATGCAACAAGGGTGATGGCACCAAGATTTAGACTGGCACTGCCAACAAACTTCAGAGTTTTCACAAATAAATTTGGCATTAGATACCAAAAAAGGTTAATTTGCAGCAGCTGTGATTGGCATGAAGAATCCAAGGGCTTGTGATGTAGCCTTTGAACTGTACCACAGCCTTTGGAGGCTCTCAAGTTGATTAAGCTTGAAAATACCATCAAATAAAAATCATCCACCTCCTACCTACAACATCCGTTTTATCATGAGGAAACTTCCTCGACAGTTTCTGACTAGCAAACAGGCCTAAAAAAAAAATCCAACTAGAAAACAAAGTGTTTTCAGCAAAGAAAGTGGGTCACGAACAAGAGGCTCTATTTAGTGTATGCTGATCTGCCAAATATACCCTTAAACCTTACTCACATGGCACACTTAGGTTCTCTTACAAATATCTGTGTGCATACAAAACTCAGCTAACTGCACAGTCTTACTAATAGCTCACATGTAACGAATAACTTAAAATAGGCTGAAAAATTACAGAGTGTGCATTCACAACTCTGAGAACACTTTATTGTGAAGCATTTGCCGTTAAATCAAAGCCACCTTAGTAAGCAGGATACAGGAAAATGCACAAATGGCTTAAGAACTACCACAGACGACTTCCTACAGGGGATTTCACCGCCGTGCCACCAGTGTCCCATCAACGGAAACTACTTCGACTATTTGGGGAAAGCCGAAAAAAAAAAAAGACGACAATCCGCACTAACATATCGTATCGCACTTTTATGCTCCCATCATACGCTTTATTGAGAGTCCAAAGCAAGAGTTACAGACTCCGGGTGAGGGGCACTGCGGAGGGGAAACCGCTCCCTTCTCGCCCGAGCCGCCTCTCCCCAGGGCACCTTTGGCGCCAAGCTCGCGCACGCAGCCCCGCCGCCTCAGGGGCCCGGGCCTCGGCCCCACCAGCCCCCCGGCCCACGCGGGGCTCGGGACCGTGCCCACGCGGCCCACACCGCGCTGCCCGGCAGAGAAACCCGCGGGACGAGCCGAGCTCCGCTCGGCCCCTCAGCTCCCGGGTCCCTCGCCGGGCGCGTCGCGCTCGCCCGCGCCCCGCGGGCCGCCCAGGCCGCCGCCGAGGCCCAGCGCGCTGCCCGCGCCCCCCGCGCGGCGGGGTCCCCGGAAGGCCGGCCGGCCGCCCGCTCTCCCCGACAGGAAATCCTGGCTGGGCTGGGCGCTGCGGAGGGAGCCGCGGCGCCGGGTTCCGGGGGAAGTGGAATTATTTTTTACCAGCGAAGAGATCAACTTCCACATCCGGTAACAGGGCCCTATACAAAGGCGCAGACTGACCTGGAAAAGCTTGGCCGGCCCGGGGGGGGTGAGGGAGAGACGGGGCGCGGGGACGGGCCCTTACCGTGCTGCCGGCCCGGCCGCCGCCGCCGCACCGACCCGGGGCTCCGCAGGCCGAGAGCCCCACACGAGAGTCCGCGCCGCGCCCGGCGGAGGGACACGGCGGGCGGAGGGGAGTGGCGCGGCTCCGCGCGGCTCTGCCCCGCCGCGGGCGCGCGGGCGGGCGCGAGGCGGCGCGGGGCGCCCCGGGCGGGCGCGGAGGGGCGCCCGGCACTTACCATGGGCGCGGGAATTACCTTATTAACACAGACATCGAGGGAAAAGGGGCGCGCGGAGGGATACGGCCTCGCCGCCGCACAGCGCGCATGCGCGCCGCCGCGGGGAAAGGCGGGGAAGCGCGGGCTGGAGGGGCCCCGCCATGTTCCGTCCCGCTGCCCGCCCGGCGGGGGCAGGGCCGGCCCCGCGCTCTTGGCGGGCCCCCGTGGCCTCCCTAGAGGCAGCTAATGGAATAAGAACAGGGGTCGCTATCCCGGGTTACTCTGTGCCACAGGGTGGCAGGGCTTGCGTTTCCCGCCTCTTGGCTGCTGGGGCTCTGCTTATATTCCCAGGTGAGGGAGAACTGTTTGAGCATGGACTTCGCTGCCTTGCTTGTCTGAGGCAAGGCTTTAGTGATAATCACGGAATCACTTGAAGAAAGCCTCAGAGCTCATGAGACTCCAGCATGTGACCCAACGCCACGGTCTCAGTTTAGAGCATGGCACTGAGTGCCAGGTCCGGTCTCCTTCAACACCCCCAGGGACAGTGACTCCACCGCCTCCATGGACAGCCCGTTCCAATGCTAATCACTCTTTCTGTGAAGAAATTCTTAGTGTCCCACCTGAGCCTTGCCTGGTGCAACTCAAAGCTGTGTCCTCTTGTTCTTGAAATGGTTACCTACCTCCCTCCCACGTGGCCACAACGTCGTATCTGGGAGTTGTAAAAGCAATAAAGCCACCCCTAGGCCTCCTCCAAGCTGAACCCCCAGCTCCCTCAGCTGCTCCTCACAGGACTTGCATTCCAGGCCCCTCACCAGCTTCATTGCCCTTCTCTGGACCTGCTCCAGCCCCAAAATGTCCTTCTTGAATTAAGAGTCTGAGAACTGGATTCAGTACTCAAGGTGTGGCCTCACTAGTTGCAAATACGGGGGAAGCTACGCTTTGGGATCATAGAGATAGGATTTGATAGGATGATAGCTCCAAAATAGTCTTCAGTCATTGCTGCTCTTTCAGAGGGCTCTAACCTTCATCCCCAGGCTGGTGCTGAACCTGACAGCCCAGGCCCCAAAACATTTCTCTTTCAGTTTTGTTTCAGCCATGGAAAGTGGTTGTGCTCACATTCTCTCCAAAGCTGTTCCAAGTCATACATCTGCTACTATGAAGCTTGGATCTCATAATTGTCATTCTTCAGGAAAACATACCAATGACAAAATTCCAGTCTATTTTGGAGATTATAATATCGACTAGATAATAAAAGGAATACCGATAATAACATTGTTTACAGAGCCATTATTATTTGCCTTTGACCTACCTAGTGCAGCTTTCTACAAAATACAAATAACAATATTCCAAGGAGTAACCATTTCTTCCTACGCTGTCACCTGTGGACTGGTTTTTGTGGGCGTGCTCAGCCAGAAGGCGGCACTAGAGAACAAATCCAAACACCTCGGGGCTGCCACTGGTCACCCAGGGCATAGAAACCTTAAATCCAACCATCAGCACATTTCTCTTTCGTTGTTGGCAAGTGTCTGTGTCTCTCAACAAGGATTTAGCATGTCACGTTACGGCTTTTCATTTATGCAGTAGCAGTAGACACAGAAAATGTTACGGTGTCCTCAAAGGCATGTGCCAATAAACAGGAAGACTTTGTGGTATTAGCAGCAGTGCTACAGAAAAGCCAAACTTTCCATATTAACGACAATCTTTCATAGAGGTGAAGAATGCCATCTGCATTTAGTCCATTAGCACTGTATATCACTTTTCATTATTATCACGAACTAATCATGTCTGGTTTTTTTACAGGATTCACCAAAACTACATGTAAGAGAGAGACATTGGAAGTCTGATGTAGGCAACTCAAAGCACATTTCACATCTATAAAGTACCTGGTTTATATTTTACCCCACTTTAGAAAATGTAATATTTTTTTCAGCTAAATAATCAAATAGATTCCACTAAAAAGCACACCAATTTTTACTGCTTAAAATTATTTATATAATATTGCTGCACACGAACATACGTGCTGATAGGAAAATGTGTTCTAACCCGAGGCAACCACAGCACGTTATAATGTAATCAACATTATTAGCATGTTTTAACAAGCTCTGGAGTGGGGTAAAGCTAATTGCACAGGCAGCTCCTCCCCAACACTTTTCTATACATGGCTGGGGTTAGTCCATGCAAGTAAGACCAAAGATTGTATCACACAGTTTTTTCATATAAGAGAAACAATAAAAGGGGTTCTCTGAGTCCAGTTTTGACAGCAGTGAGTATGAGAGTCAACATTAATTTGTACACATCCCAAGCTCTGACATCAGTGGACTTACCCCTCCATCTTGTCATAACTTTCTGCTATCACCCACCCTGGCTAAAACACATAGAACAGGTCTGAAAAAGGCACTTTCATGAGTGTGGTGTTATTAATGTTCAGTTCAGCTTGGAGTTGTTAGAATCTATCAACTTTGGTATTAACCTTTCTGCGCAATATAGAAGTCATAGAACTCCTTTCTCCTAGAACCTTTCACATGCCTGATCACTCACGCACACTGAGAACTACAGATGGAGAAATTGTCTGAGCCTCTCACGTGCCCAGTACCAACCAACGTTACTGTACCACTAGATGCTATGCCCAGTTCAGCTTCCTGGGCAAGGAATCAAGTATTTTGGAAGACTACATCAAGACAAGCATCTATCTCCATGTTACCTAAACTTCCCTATTTAGGCTCCAAGACCTCCCTGTTTTCTAAAGTCACTGACAGAAACTGCTGCAGTTCACAAGACATTTCCACTGGCAAAACTGAGCACCAGGTTGAAATGCAGTTGTCGAATCCCCTCACCCGCCAACAGTTAGGGGACAGTCCAGGATTGTGGCAGCACAGAGTATCTCCTCCATTTGTGTAAGATCTCCATGACACCACCAGCCTCTCCCCTTCTCCCAGCATGACCATACCAGTACGTCCACACATACCTGCCATCCCTGAGGTACGATGCTTGTAGTAACACAAGGTGCACAGAAAACACTGTCATTAACAGAAAAACTTGGAGTGTCCCCTCAATCCAGTTTTCTTCAGACTAAAAATAGGGTATTTTATAAAGAGAGGCGTCTCGCCTTCCCACACCAGGTTGCACACTGCAGTGAAGCAGTTTAACACTCCATACAAACGCTGGGATGCCCTACAAAATGTGACAGACCCCAGAGCCCGATCTTAGTGGCTTGGCCAAGGTAACAAATCTGGTCCCGAGACGAGGAGCCAGGCGCGGCGGAGCAGCAGCCCACGGAAGCTGGCAGGGCACGGCAGGTAACCTCGGGCTCACACGCAGGGCCGGCGGCTGCTCTCGGGCCGAGGTCACCCGCGTCTCCCTCCCCTCACACCGCCCTCAGAGCCACCCCAGCTCCGAGGCAGCTCCGCGGCGTGTGTGGGTCTGCGTTCCCCGCCCGACCCAGCGCTCCGCGCCCCCCAGGGCCCGCAAGACACCGTCTGAGCCAGAACCTGCCCGCACCCCCCGCGGCCCGAGCCGGCCCCGCGGCACGGATAGGGCCGTGACAGTCCCCGCCCCCGCGGGGAGCGGAGGCCCGGCAGGAGGGAGGGAAGCAGGGAAGGAGGAACGCCGCTGAGTTCCGCCCTAGCAGCCATGGCCGCGTAGCGTCTTCTCGGCAGCCGCGCTCGGACATGGGCCTGCCCCGGGCCGGCGGGCGGAGGCAGCGAGTCCCCGCGGCGGTGAGTGCGCGGCCGGGGCGGCTCTGGGCCGGCGGGGAGCGAGGCCTGTGGGGCAGGGGGACTCCGGCAGTGACGGGAGGGGCGGGCGCCCTTGGAGGGATCCCCGGGCCCAGCCCCGCCGTGCGGGGGAGCGGCCCTCGAGGGGCTGCGGACGACGGGGGAGCCGGTCCGGGCCGCACGGGGAGAATCGGGCCTGGCCTGGCGGAGAGCCGGCGATGTGACCTTGGGCAGCCCGCAGTCCCCCAGCCCGGCCAGGGTGAGGAGCGAGCGGGGCCGGGGAGCCGCCGCCGAGGCCGAGAGCGGCCGGAGGAAGATGGCAGGGAAGCGGCGCTTCCCAGAGTGCCGCACTCCTGCGGCCGGCGAGCTGCGGTGTCATGGAGATTGCCACAGCCCGGCCGGGCCGCCGCAGCGCTATTGACCGCCCGGTTAGAAACTTGAAGGAGTTTTCTGCCTCTCTGTCACCTCCTCGGCTTCTTATCACCTCTGCAAGGCGTACCTTGCAAATGTTCATTTATTTAAATTAGAAGTGGAACTGTTTGTGGTTTTACTTAGAATAACTTTCAAACTTCCTGCAGAAAATCTATTGTATTTATTTTAAAAAAACTTTATAGTGTCTTTCTTTCCTCTCGGTGTCAGTGAAACTGTTGGATGGTTATCTGTCAAAGGGTTCTCTGTGTGGAGAGAGTCGTTGCGAGGCTTGGCAGGTTTCAGCAGGGTGCGAGGCCGGGGAGAGACCCGTGATGTGTTGCTGCTCTGGTGACTGGTGGCAACCAGAAGAATGGTGAGAGTTTGGGTACTCTGTGAGCATCATGAGCTTGCCATAAGACGACTCAGTGGTTATAATCGTCCTATGTACATTAAATTACAGGACCGAGGCCAGTAGTACTAACAATACCAGAGCCTGGAAGAGAGCTAGAGGACTCACAGAACTAAATATGCTGATTGTGTAGTTCAATCATAGTAAAATTCTCAGTCTCTAGACTCACAATGATAATCTTAACAAAACCAGCTCTTGTGTACTAAGCACAGATAGTAAAAATTCTGAGAAAACTGAGTAACTTAATGCTCATGACAAATCAATTCCTTATTTTTTCAAATGCTAGAGACAAAAGTAAATGGATAATACTTTATTACATACCTGAGTTGGTAATGCACAGTACTTGTACCTGTATTTCACAATGTGTTAGTGTGTGCACTGCTTGCAGTGTAACTGCTTCTATGCATTGTTCTTTCTGTAGTCATTCCACTTAAAGCTTACTCATATCCTTAGTAAAACTGGCATGATAATTAGATGTTGAAAAACCTGTTACCAACAGGTATGTTTCCCTGTCAGGGTAAAACTATCCATTCTAAGTATGTTAAATGCCCATAAACGTACAAGCATGACTTCACTTATACTTTTGGGATATTGGCCTGGTTTTCAGCACTCATAGGTATGAAAAAGGAGCCAGAGATAATACTTCAGCCAGGGGTAGCAAAGGTCCCAGGTTTTGAGTTTGATCTTAATTTTTAAGAAAAAAGTTGGCAAAGCTGAAATAGATTGTTTCTCCTTCCTCACAGCATTGACTAATAGTAGGTTTAGCTATTCAGCTTCTTCTGTCCCTTGTATTCATAGTTTTATGATGTGGTTTTCTTTTATGTTGACTAGTTCCGAACTGTATTTGTGCAGCTGGATTTTGCTGGATTCCTCCCCTGAGACTAGGCCAGTTAGGAATCTGATATCTGCAAAAAAACTGTGTTCAAATTCAGGTGGCAGTATTTATCAGTGAAAGAGCTGATTTGGACTCTGAAGCCATAGTCTTCCCAAAGCTTGCTCAAAAATGAAGGAAATAAGTCATGTTCATTTGAATATGAGGAAAAATTGAGGTAAAGCATATCTTAAAATTTAGTAGAAGCTTAAGAGGTTTTAAGGGTCCTTAAGAGCCAAGACTGAGTAGTCAACTGGCAGACAACAGTGGTCAGTCTGTAGTAACTAAAATCCAGTTAAGGGATTTGTAATGCATAAACCTGAAAATGTTAGTTACGGATCCAAAATTAAGATTCTGTATAGAAAAATGACTTAGAAACTGTAACTGAAATCTCACTAATGACATATGCTTTGTGTATTTCGATTGTGTGGTTGCGAATTTGATTTTTTTAAAAGTTTAGAAAGTGTTATTCTTTATCCATTCTTTCTCATTTCACTTCAGCAAAATGTGTGAATTGTGGTGCCGTGGGAGGTCAGAGTAATACCTCATTCATCAGATACTGTGGTTAGAAGTTTAATTGTGGTTAAATTTTTTAAAAAAAGGTATAGAAATTTATTTTAATCGGAAAATAAAAGTTCAGCAGTGAGCTTGCATGGCAGTTTAAAGACCTGCAGTTATAACTTAGTGACCACAAGAAAATGTAGAAAGACAATTTTTGTTTCAGGTCAAAGCTCTGAGCTGGCTTTTATTTACTAGTTCTGCATTTGTATAGATGATGTTCCAGAAGATCTGCCCTTTTCAAGGTGTGTCAGCAACACTTGAGAATTTAGTGACATCATTAAATGGTTCATCTTCCACATAATCTTGAGCTTTTTTTGCTCATATGCACACAGCACTCTAATGCTATGTGCATATCTTATTCAGACTGCATATTTAGTTACAATATTCTGTCAGAACACAACCAAATGCTGCCACTTAAGATTAAGAAAATACTGGTTACATAACAGAGCAAACATTGACGATATATTTGGAAAGGACTTAAAGCTTCAAAGGAAAAGTCTATTTACAGTTCCATGGAGAAAAAAACAGCCAGGTAAAGACATGCTCTGAAGGTAGAATGAGATGAGCAATACTAAAATCTTAATAAGAGTGAATTTGAAGCCTTTCTTTATGAGGTTGCAAAAAGCATGTGTTTGTTTTAGGCTAAAAGGCTTTTATACTGGGAAGGTCTTCTTTGGGGCAGGGGTTGTCTGTGTTTTGTTTGTACTGCATGCAGGTCTAATGAATTATCTGCCTTGGTTTTGGCTCCTAAGTATCTCCCTGAAAATTACAATTGAATGTATGACACATAATACAGAAAAGACAATGTTTTAAGATGAGTGAGGTATGGGATATATTTTTAATTTTATGTATTAAAGATAGTATTTGAGGACCTTATTACTTACTTTATAGAATTATCTGGAACTTAGTCTCCTAAGAGGGGAAGTTTAACTAATTTTTCAGTTTTAGAAAGCTGATACGTAGTTGGAAATGAGCAAATACAGCATCTGTGTTCAAGCAGTAAGTTATTTTGTAGATATTGTTTGGTCTGACCTTGGCATACCAGACCTTACACCAAAGGTTTGTGTTAACTTAGCGTCTTTGTTTGATAACCAGTTCCTAGACCATACTCTGTTCAGTAATACTTCAAGGAGTACAACGGCTATGAGCCTTGGCAAGGGATCCCATTCCCACCATAGCTTTTCATTCTTGACTGCACATGTCGACTGCTGCCCTTGCACAAGCTGTGTAGCCTTTCTGCTTCTTTAGCAGGCTGAATTGGCTCAATAAGAGGTTGGAGAAGTACCAAAGCAGCATGAGAAAGAGGGAGGGAAATTGAGACTACCTCATTCAGTGGCAGTCAGCTACTGATCAATTTGGTCAGGTGAAACTTCCTTCTGAGGTCACTGGCTGGTTTTTTTGGTCACACTTGTCATGCTGATCATCACATTGAAAGGGAAATGCTCTACCTTCATCTTGTCAAAAGCCATGTGGCTTTCTTTTCCTTACTAGGAAATAACTTGCTCATACCATTTGAGTGTCTTTCTTCTAATGAGTCCCCTTTAATTCCTTCAGTATCGCACACATCTTAATGTCTCACCACTTGCTTGTGAGGGAGCTCAGTTCCTGCTCTGTCACCCCCAAGGCTAAAACAGCTCACTGTGTACTAGATGCAGAGTTTTAGTTAGATGCAGGAAACGTCATGGACTTCCCTATCTCAGATAACATGGTGTAACAGTCCCTTGTGACCAAACTCTGCTTAACTATTTTATAGCTACCCAGAGAGCACTTTCAAATGAAAGCACAAAGTCAATGGCACCAAGGAGTAGAACACCTACAAAATGTCCAAGACATTTCAGTTGACTTTAATGGTAGCAGCCTTCCTGTTCTCAGCTTATCTGTTAGCAAGACATTAGAAGTCATTTTTCAAAGGAGTTAGTGTGTATTTGCAGAGTACAGAGGAGTCAGCTAATTTTTGATAGTATACTTAATGGCATTTCAGTAGAATAGATTTGCTGGATGTGATGATTTTGAACATTCATGAGTCAGCATTTTTTATTAATTTTTTTATTTTTCTGTTAGCACCATATTGCTGGACATTCTTGATAAATTACCTGCAGTGGTTTCAAATAATTATCTCACTTTGGGAGGATTAAATTATACTGTTAATTGTTCAGACACTGTTTGCTAGCTCACATAGGGTGAGATGAATTAGGTAATAAACCTACACAGGTAACTTATGACTACTGTATTAAAAGTAATTGGAATATAATTTGGCTCTTCCTACCCTTTTTTCCTCCTCCAGAAAAATATTGATAGAGACTTATAAGACCTAGAAGATAGAGACTTATAAGACCTATAAGACCTAGAAGAAACATAAGTAACTATATTAACATGCCTGCTGTGGCATCTGTACCTAAGGAGCTATACCTCTCTACTTCATTGAAAGATCTCAACAAGAAGACAGAAGTAAAACCTGAAAAGACCAGTACAAAAAGGTATATATGTTATAATTTATTTTAAATGAATACTTAGTAGTTTTTCCAGAACAAATTTGTTGTGGATCTAAATTTCCTTCATTATTTCTGCTAGATAAAGAAATCTTCAATAGTCTTATACATGGCTCTCAACTGTCACATTGAATATGCTTATTGCCTTCAGAAGGTCACTTGGCATAGTGCCAAAACATGACTTGGACAAAGCACAATGCCCATGAAAATCTGCATACTTAGAGGAAAGGCTATATAAATGCAAATCTGTAAAAATGATAAAACCTTTAGCTAGTGTCTGAATGCTTTGCCTCTAACATTTTTAGACAATCAATGATTTAATTTTGTCTTACTATGAATTAGTTTTCCCTAGGAAAAAAAAAGCTTTTCTTAGAAGGGAAGAGTTCCTTTTTCCATATCTCACTGTGGTATTTAATTATGGAAGACTTTAAATAAGGCTGGTAAACAAACTAGCAAAGATAAACATCATTTGGAGGAACATGATTGCAGTTCATATTTAATTAAAGTTTTATATTAAAGTCGTAAAATCAAGTGCTTAATATATGGGTGAAGTCTGTAAACACTTAAGATGGCATCTTGTAATGAAAAGATGTTTGGGGACAAGTCAACAGTGATGTGCTTTACTCCTCTTCTTTGCTTTCAGTTATGTACAGAGTGCCCTTAAGATTTTCAAGGCAGCAGAGGAAAGCAGACTGGATGGAGATGAAGAAAAAGCTTACATCCTATATATGAAATATGTGGCTGTTTATAATCTTATTAGAAAGAGACCTGATTTTAAGCAGCAACAGGTATAAAAGCTTTCTGACTAATCTCTCCGGTGTTGGTCGAAGTATGACAAGTACAGAGAATTACACTCATGCACATTCAAAGGATCACACTGATATTAAGTAAACTGACTCACTTATGGTGCTATTTTTTCTTTCCTGTTTTTTGACAAGTCTGGTGTTAATTTTTTTACAGTTTTATTTTAATGTATGAACTATATAAATTGTCAGATCTGTGAATATTTTTGCATGGAAAGGTATTCCAGTAATTTACACCAGTCAGACTTTTTTGGTGAAGTTGCTTTGTCTAGCCTTTATTAGTGTTTTAAAACAATTTTACTTACAAACTCATATTTAAATGGAAAATACTTTGATTCAAAGCAGTTCCTTTTGTTGACATTAATATCATTAGAATATCAATTCTCCATACAATAGTGACTGTTGACATGCATAGAAGTAGTCATTATTAAGCTGTATATTTATGTGGTGTGATTCTTGTCATTTTAGGATTATTTTCATTCAATTCTTGGACCTACAAATTTGAAAAAAGCTCTCGATGAAGCTGAAATACTGTCAGACAGCCTTAAACTCAGGTATGTAATATAACTGATGGCTAAGACATTGTTTATACCTCGAGCCTGTACCTGTACCAAGTGCAGGTTTTCATGCTATTTAGTAGTAAGCAATTGCACTTGAGTTAACCATAGGTACCTGAAATTCTTGAAAGCTTAAATTTATTCCCAGAAGTCTTTTACTAGAAATAATTTTCACTGCCACATGCTCCAATAACTTGTCATTTTATACACTTGTCTGATAATTCCTGGTAACTTTGGTTTGTTGTCAGTGTCTCCTAGTTTTGTTTATTGACTAATAAAAAGAAACCACAAGGTCTGAAGTACATATGCAGTAGAAATGATCGAGAGCAATTTCCTCCACAACCTTTTAATCATAAGGTCATGTGAACCCAATTATATTAATGAATGTTCCTAATAATCAGAAATGTTAAAAAGTCCCCCTAGTCTGGATGTAGTTTACACTAAGAAATGCCAGCTTTTGATTCTTTAGCCACACCTTTCCTCTGCCACCTGCAGCCATTTATATGGAATGCACAGTTCTGCCAGTATGCAAATGAACAGGTGCTAATGGGCTTTTGGGTACCTGATTGACAGCTGTCAAATTACATCTTTATGCCGTAAGCCACGATATTGTGTTAGTAAGAAGTTGTAAGGTAGGGTCTATCTTTAGGTGGTATTTAGCACAGTAGTTGTTACTTCCAGCCTTCTCTGCTTCTTGCATCCTTAGAGAGACTTTCTCACTCTTTTAACTCTCTCCGCAGCTGGGCACATTTCCCTTCACAAGTGTCCTCGTCCTCCCAAGTATTTTTGTGAAAGTGTATTTTGTGCCCTTCATAGATTTTTATGCTAAATCTATAAAGTTAGTTCAGATGAACCGTGAGTGTAGTTACACGTATGTGAAGAGGGACTTCACAGAGATGTCTCATGACACTGTGTATGAAGCAATCTTTAGATTTTCTTTGTTTAGGTGAGTCTTACAATTCAACAGAACTACAAACTCACTGTAAGAGTAAACATTTATAGAATCAGAGAAGCTTAAAAGTAGGGACTTGTTGTTTAAATAACTTATGTCTTTTTATGAAAGGAACAGAGTTTTGAAGTTGACGCAGTAACTTAACTACTCTGGCAAAATGTGTAAATATTTAAAGGTAACAGAAATGAAACATGACTCCTGTGTAACCACAGAAGTAGTTTCAAGAAAATTATTTGTATGATTTCTTCCCCAGGCTGTAGGCCAGCAAATAGTTTGAATGTTAATTGTTAACTAAAAGTGGAGCTGCTTGAAACTTGTGTAGGGGCAGGAATGCTTACTATGTGCACTATGTGAATGACTGACTATGTGTTTCAGAAGTGTAAATGAGAAATTGATAGGTAAATATTTCATACTGACCAAATTAAACTAAAATCTGAAATATGCTTTAGTGTCCTTAACTCCAAGTGGGAACAAAATGCTCAGTTCTGACTTAAAATGCCTATACCAAATCAAGAAGCCTGTTTAAAAAATAAAATTACAGACTTGCTGCCTCCTTCCTCTTAGTGGGCAATTAGTGCAGTAGACTTGGAGGTGGAATTTGACTGAATCATCTGGGTTATTAACACAGTACTTTTGAACTCAAATACAGCTGTATTGTCATTGTTATTTTAACCCTCATTACGCAACATCTGGTTAAAGTGAGCACTTACTAACACAGTTCTGTGTTCATGTTTTACTTCTTGGTTCAGTCATCGAAATTGTTAGGTCAAAGATTATTTTTTTGTTTTATGATACCAGTAATGCTTAAACTTCTCAGCTGTATTAAATGTAATGCTGTTGAACGATGATGTGACTGTACAAACCTCCAGTGGGTGATGTGAAAACTGCAGTTTGGAGGTCACTGGCTTACAATACTATGATTGTCCTTCCAGTGGTAAAAGGCTGGGAGGGTAATTTTCAAGTCTTAAGGCTTTATAAAAAGGGCAGCTGTATGCAAGACCTCATCCCCCAGAACTCCTGAGTGAACATGGTTCTTGCATTGGCTTCCCTGTAGGCCCAGTGTTTGAAACAAGCACCAGGCACACAGGTGAGCAGATCATGGAGTCAACTTAGATTCTGAAGGTGATTACTGTATGAGTAGTTCTGATACAGCTTCTGAGAAAAAGCAAATTTAGATAACTAAGCTAACTTAATTCCTCACTGGCTCCATTGCAAAACAAAATAAAATACCTGGGATGACTGTTGTAATATACTGGAGTTTACTTGTCAGTCACCAGTGCCTACCCTTTTCTGTGGAAAGTAAAATACATTCAGAGATACCATAGCTCAGCATGACCCCAGGTTTAAAGAAAAAAAGAACTTCACAATCAGTGGCTATGTAATAGGACTCAAACCAAGATTCAACAATAAGAAAACCAACCCAAAAGTGTGAGAAATAGGACCACATAGTTAGGAAGAAAAATGGAATTCATTGGAATACAAAATACTTTAACTTTTTAACTCTAAATACTTCTTTTAAAATTTTTGCCTGACGACTTTGTGATTTTTATATTAATAATCCAAGGTTAGCCAAAACCACAATATTGAAAAAAAGGCATTTTTTTCCCTCCAATAGATACGAGGAAGCTGAAGTTCGGAAAAAACTTGAAGAGAGGGACAGACAAGAGCTGCAGAAAAAGCAAGAACCAAAAGATGATGGAAAGAGCTCAGGCAAAAACTCCTCAGAAAGTGCTGTGGATTCCAAAGGAAAAAGCCAAAGGGTAAGTGAAAATGTTTACAAACTCTAATTCACTCTGAATGTATAGTTTCAATCTAGAATTTGGTCTCTACTAGTAGCTATTTCCAGTTCAGAATCAAAGTAAGTTACTTTTTGGAATACGTGAAGTCCTAGCAGCCTCCAAGTCTTGTATAAGATAGACTGAGTTTTACGGTAAAGTCAGATTCTGTTTATGCTAGAATTAGTGCAAGAATCACGTGCAAGAAACCCAAGCTAATGGTGACAAACTGATGTTAAGAATAATATGTCTCCATTTTAGGAGAAGGTTGACTTTTTAGTGTGGAAACGCTTATATCTCGACAAATACTTCAAGAATTTCTTCTGGTAGATGATGGTGTCCTAGGCTGTATTACCTTTGTAACTGTTTTCTGTCTAGGCAGTGCAGCAACCTTAGTATCTCTTGAGTTAATTTGTCAGCACATCTTCAGAAGCAGCTCCCTTGTGGTGTGTTTCTTCCTGTGGCTTAACTGTCTGACCTTCAGTTTCCTTCAGGCTTCGTGAGAGTCATTGTCTGTTGGCCGCCTTAGTTCTGAGAATTGCATACTAAATTTTTTTTTTTTTCCCCCTTATAATACAGATTAATGGTGAGACGAAGCATTCACTGGAAAGAAAGGATCAGTCTGATAGCCTGAGTGGTAAGATATGCATTGATCACACAAATGTGAAAAAGGTTTCTGTATGACTGCACTAATCACCTCACAGCTTCAGTTCTTCTCAGGAGTTACTGCAGTTAAAATATTTTGATGAAATTATAGTATCCTGCATTTCAGTTATAACAAATTAGTAATTAATTAAGCTCTGTATTATAGCCTTCATTACTTCTCATAAACTTAAGCTGTAGTTAGTTTTTCAACCGTTCAGTAATAAAAGTTGAACTAGTCCTGCAGTGGTCAGGTTATAAAGAAAAACAGCTCTATGGCTGATAGGCAAGGCTGAAATATGATAGCTTACTGAGTTAAATGCAAATTTTTTCCTTTCCCCTCAAACCTTCTGCTTTTTGTTCTTGTAGTGAGTATGTGAAAATATTCTCTAGAGTTCTTAAGAGGAATGTCTGCAGCATGTAGTACACAAATGCTTGCCTATATAGCTTGATTTAAATGAGACCACATTAAGTTAAACTCGTTTATCACTGAAATACTCAGTGTATTATAGGATGTCAGTATATCATATTGTCTAATCTAATCAGGTCAGGTGCTGATCACTACAGCAGTGGGAGCAAAAGGTCCACACTGTAATGAGTCACCTCCATGACTTTGTGGGACTTTTTAGTTATGTTTCATCTGTTTGCAGTCTTGACTGCACCAGTCAGACACCATAGCTATTTTCATTTATAATGTAGCTTCTTACATGTAATTGCTTCTCTCTTTCAAGGAGCAGTCACACCTGAGAAACTGTTCGCAATGATGTCAGACAAAAATACTGAATTGCTTATAATGGATGCTCGAAAATCGAAGGATTATCAGGAATCCTGTATTCCAAAATCCATCAGTGTCCCAGAAGAAGCTATCCGTCCTGGGTAATTCATGATGTTAAATGAGAGTGAAATACTTAATTTTCAAAAAAATTACATGCTTTTAAAGCTTGTATACCTAGTGTCTAAATCCCTGCTGTGTACCACTGGGTGAGATGTATCTGCACAGCTCTGTTCTTGCATATGCTGACTTCAAAACAATACATATTTATTTTATCCAAGCACATAAACATCTATGGATTATATATTGTTGGACAAAATGTTAGTTGTACGTGAATCTTTAAATGCCTGTTAATACATTTCAGAGATACTGCTTATCTAATTGAAGCTAGACTCCCAGAGGATTCTAGAGATCCATGGAAGAGGAGAGGACAGTTCCATTATGTTATACTGCTAGACTGGTTTAGTTCTGCTGAAGACTTAAAGCTGGGAACAACTCTTCAGAGCCTGAAAGATGCACTTTTTAAGGTTGGCAAATTCCATCTTTTAATTCATTAATTTATTCATCTTAGTAAATAAGGTCTAGAAGCACTTGTATTTACAAAGTATATGGAGGCCTTAATGACACTTCAGTTGGTTGAGTTTTCACAGCCTGCTTGTTTTGATAGCAACAGTGTAGTTTGAAGTTTCACACTGTACTCTAGTAGAGGACAGTATCATTTATTAAACAGGTAAACAGAATGATTCAACTCACCTCTTCAACAAGCAGCTCATCAACTTAAAGTTCTTTGCTGACAGAATTATTTGGGAAAGCACTTACAGTCCTGTGTCGCAGGAACAGTCACCCCCTCTCCTGTACTAGAACAGTAATTCCTCATCCATGGGAACTGGCTGGCCATCTGCTCAGGCAGGCCAGAGAAGGGCAGCTGCTGTGCAATCCAGGTGCTTCCTACAATGGAGGGATTTCAATGAAGGAGGCTCCAGAAATATTTTGAGCAAGGTTAACTTTTCTGCATTATTGAATATAACTTTTAGAGACTCCACAGTGAGTAGATGCCCAACATTTTTGAGTCACTCCTGCTATGGCTGTGTTGTCCCTTCTCTCTATAGTGGTGGCTCTTGTGGAAGACTGCAAATCTTTCTGTTACCTTGACATTCAGGACTGGGGCTCAGAAATAGTTCAGGCAGTTCTCTTTATTGCTTTACAGAATATTCTCTAAACTCTCTGTGTCTTGTTCATGTACTGAGGACATCAGGAGGAGGGCAGTCTGAAGCCTGAACTCTCAAGGGGTTTCAGAAAATTTAAAAAAAAAGTTGTCTAAATTATTAATCCCTCAGCAAACATACCAGATAAGAAACTGAGGCAAATACACTTTTCTGCATGGAGGATTGTTATGTGAAGTAGCAGTAACTGGTTCTTTCTGTACTAGAAATACTCACATTCTTTTGTAGGCAGAGCCAAGAACTAAACTGTGCTTGGCGTTCTCCAAACACAGAGAGAATCCCTATTTTTGCAACCTCTTTAATTCTTGTTTAAAAATCTTGAAAACAATCTCTTAATTTAACCTCTAGGCACAGAAATTTCAACAGCACTAGTAAGCTGTGAAAGTGTCCTTTCTATTTTTAAATCAATTAACTTTAAACTTTTTTTCTATACAGTGGGAAAGCAAAACCGTCCTACAGAATGAACCACTAATTCTAGAGGGAGGTTATGAAAACTGGCTCCTTTGTTTTCCCCAGTATACAACAAATGCTAGAGTAACTCCACCCCAGCATGGCAAGACTGAAGCAGTGACTGTTTCTTGTAAGTATAAAGGATGACACCCCACCAAGCATTTGTAGTTACTGGATGAGTCTTTCATTCATTCATGTGTTTTAGGAAAGTCTTGTTCTGGCTAAAAACTAAATTTTGGGTTGGAATGGGGCGTTTATTTTGCTTTGAGAGTTGTCTTACAGTTCCTTCCTGTCCCTACTCCTGCAGTGGATTTTACATATCCATCTCTGGAAGAGCCAGCTCCTGTGCCACCTGTTGTTGCTGAAAATGAAGAAATGGGAGATAATTTGGAAGAGAGACTAAAATCACTTAACAGACCAAGCATACAGGATGCTGCTGTTCCAAAATCTGACAGTTCCTTTGTAGTTAATCCAGTGTCAGTTACAAGGAGTATCCCTGAGGTAAGCTCTTTGACCTGTTCTTTTCTTCAGTTAGCATATGGTTAATCTGATAGAGACCCACCACACCCAGAACTCTAAATCCACATACTCAATACATTTGTTTAAGCTTTCTGCACACTCTTGATGGTCTGTGAAGCTGTGGTAACCGATCTACAGAATTCTATGAAACTAAATACACTTAACAGAATAGCAGAACTTTTCGTAAATGTTTTTACAAGAGCACATGAGAAATCAAGGTCAGCAATTGATCACTAATTCAGAAAATTTGTAAGTAACCTTTCTTCTTAAAGAGCATAGGATGAAATACAGAGACCACAGTTAAGCCATGGCTTCCTTGGCTATTCCACAGTCTGATTTCCAGCCACTGTATCTTCCTTCAAATAATAAAACATTTAGGGCTTTTGTCACTCTCAGCCCAGTAGTGAAAGTACAGGAATTTGTTTCTTCCTTTCATGTGAATAAAACTTTCTAAAAACATCTTTGTATATTTTTTACACTAAAATAATACCTTCCTTAGGAGACAAGGCTAAAAGCTCTTCACTTACAGCCTTTAATATAGATTTCATTCAAGAGACCCTAAACTGTAAAATTTAAAGACCTTATTTCTGTTTGTCCCTGAACCAGATCAGCTTTTATTTCTTCAGAATGTTCACTTCAGCATCAAAAACAACCTACTAGCCTACATCTGAGCATGAGCCATTCTTAAATACCCCTTCCCACCATGCAGATCTGCCTTAAACATGTGCTTTGTCACATGATTCAGAGAGCCAAGCCCAAATTAGGCTGCCTGATTGCCCTAAAATGTTCACCTTGAAAGCTCAAAAACAGAGGGCTGCATAGTGCATAATGCTGTCCTTGTGGTTCTTTAGGGCTTGTTTATTAGTTCACACCTGGAATGAATACCTAATTTTACTAACAAGCAGTTTGAATGAGCAGAATTAATGAAATTGAGAGACCACTGTGTCTGGTAGAAGTCAACTTTTTATCATTTTTATTATCTTATAAATCTCAGGAAGAGCTTAGCTAAGAGAGTAGTAATAGCTGGAGAGAATTGTTCTGCACTCTGTGTTCTGCACCTGTGTTACAGGTGGATCGTTCTAAAAAGCCTTCACTAAAAATGCTTGATGATAACAGAGCAAAACCTCCAAGTACAGTCAGTGACATCCAGTCTGGTGAGAATGGAAGAATAGTTCCAGACCGCTCCACAAAACCGATGCGTGATGCAAGGAGCACTCTGACAGAAGAAGAAAAAAGTCGGGTCCATGCAGAAACTGCTGCTTTATTAGAGAAAAACAGGCGGGAAAAGGAACTGCGAGAGAGGCAACAACAGGAACAGAAAGAGAGGCTCAAGAGAGAAAAAGAAGAACAAGAACAAAAAGAAAAAGAACAAGAACAAAAGGCAAAAGAAGAACAGAAGGAAAAGGAACACAAAGAAAAGCTACAGCAATCAAAAGAGGACAGAGAGCAGAAGGAGAGGGACGAACAAGTAAAAAGAGAACAGGAGGAAAAGGAACAAGAAAGAGCCCACAGAGAAGCAGTAGAAGCAAAAAAGCAAAATAAAAATGAACCAGAAAACATTGGTGCAAAAAGGATTGAGATTGACAAAATATCCATGGAAGAAAGAGAAAAGGGAACTCGAACACCAGAAACACAGAAACGGGCACTGGGTGATGCATCTCAGATTCCAGGCAAGGTCAGTGAAAAAGAAAGTCATCACCAAATGTTAAGTAATTATTCACTTAAATCATGCTGAATAGTCTAGTTTTAATCTAGCAATTTGAAATACATAATTGCATGTTTATTTAGACCACTTTTTACATGAAAGTAGAGGAGAGAGTTAAAACCAAGACACAAATAGATTTTGGTTTTTTTGCCCAAGACAAGCTTGTTTCTTTCTTGTACGTGGGCAGCATGAAATCCCCACAGGATAATAAAATTTTTCACATGGAGCTAGAAGGGATGATGGTTCATAGACTGCAACCCTCTATTTCAAAAATAGAAGCCTGGTGGTATTTTATCTCTTGTACCAGCTTGGTATTGTTATGTGATGTTAGGGACACAGAGGTGTCATAAAGGAACCCTTTAATGCCCCCAGCTGTAGACACACTGACAGAACAGGATTGTGTTGCCTAGCACAGGAAGCAAAGCAACACCCTCATCTATAAGTTTTGCTGAAAATGGTCCAGTTCCAAATCTTGAGGGGAAAGGAAGGGAATGTCACAGTTCTTTCTTTTCTCATTCTTGAAAAAAATTGCAAAATTTCTCAATGTACAAATCTGATCATAAAACAGGAGCCACTTGCGAAGCTAACAATGGAACAGACGTCTTTAAAACCACTTCTCACGAATGTGCATTAGGATATTTTTCTCTGCTTTTGCAATTGCATTTGTGATTTGATCAGATACTGATGCACAAGAAAGTCAAAATAAATCTCCCTGTGCAAATTTAGCACAGTCATTCATGAGCTTTTGACTGACAGAGCAACTTCATGTAATCCCAAAATGATGGCCTATGATCAAATTCATATTGACTTCACAGTGTGCCTTTTCCATGGAGAGGTTTGACCAGTGAGGGGTGAAAGGGAAAAAAGGCCAAAATTTAACAATAAACTGTAAACCCTACAACTTTTAGGGTGGAAAGTAGTGTAGGTGGAACTTCTGCACTTTATTTCTGAGCTGTTGAAACTACAGAACAAGCTGTAATACAACATTCAGTTTCAAAAATTAGTCCAGTGGACTGCCTATACTATATAGAAAAAATAAAAATTACCTGCTTTAACCACTTTGTTGTGGTACATACATTTAACAGCCAAAAAAGAAATTATAACTGCTTTATCAGCATTCTTCACTGACATGCCAGATGAAAATTGAAGCCTTCTCTCAAAATCTTTTGCAGCAAAAAGGACAACCAGACAGTGGAACTCAAAAGCCAGGACCCCTTAGAGAGGATTCTGAACAAGATACTGAAAGACTTAAAGTAAATACAAATGTATTGTATGTAGCCAAAATAATCAAGCACATGATGCTTTATGATTGTTATATTATGTTAAATTCCTCATTTCAGCTTTTTAAGTCGTCATCTTAACAAAAGACTATGCCATGTTTACAGTGTTTGGTTGCTTTTTTTCATTTGTCATATTCATATGAAAATGAAACTTTCATTAGAAGTTTTGATGTATTTCTGGTGGCATTAATAAGCATTCTCCATGCATTCGTCATCTCACGCATACACCTTCAAGTGCTACTTTAAGAGGGAAAAAAGCTCAGCCTTATGTGTTTAACAGAAGCACATACTCCTACTATTTCCTGATTCTTCAGGGGAAAAAAACTGAGTTTTGAGACTTTTGTGAGACTGAATTGTAGGTTTGTTTTTTGGAATTTGTCAACAAATGGGTTTTGTTTAGATTGAGCAATAGAAAATACTAAATTACCATTACAATACATTGTATTTCAGTCTGTAGTCAAGGATTTATTGTAGTGTTTGCACTGAATCATGTAATTCCATAGAGAAGTCACAGGCAGCTTGTTGCTCTGCATAGGTAACTGTGTATATACCTTACTTTTCTCTTTGTTTATTAGTCCCAGCGGGAGCCATTAATGAGAGCACGAAGTGAGGAAATGGGAAGGATAGTCCCAGGGCTGCCTGCAGGTTGGGTAAAGGTAACTCCTTCTGATATGAAACTCAAACTGTCTTGTGTAGTTTTGTCCTGTATTTCAGTTATGTCTTATTTCTAAGTTAGATCTTGTTTATTCCCCTTTAACTTCCACACAGTTGCTTTCTGAATTTTAATATTATTTGTAATGAAACTAGGACAGTTCATCTGCTGTTCCTGGTATTTGCTGTTAAATAGGTGTTTTGGTGAAAGTGCTCCCTTCCACTAAATTTAATCCATTGAATGTTGAAGCCAGTCACAACTTAATATCCCAATGCCTGGAAAACTACCGCTCTTCTTATAGTAATTTATTGCTAGGTAAGTTAATGATGGATTTTCACTTGGGTTTGAAACTATTTGGGTTTTTTTCCCCAAGTTCCTAGATGACATCACTGGAACCTATCGTTACTATCACTCGCCAACAAATACTGTTCAGATGTACCCCCCAGAAATGGCTCCTCCAGCCACTCCTCCATCAACTCCTCCAACTCGGAAAGCCAAGCCAAAGGTGACTGTTGAACGGGAGAGAGAACACTCCAAACTGAAGCGCTCCTACTCGTCCCCAGACATAACCCAAGCCATTCAGGAGGAAGACAAGAAAAGAATTCCTGTAACTCCTGCAGTCAATCGTGACAATAAGTATGTTTGTTTGATAAGTTAGATCACAAGTCAGGCAGTATGACAGCACAAAGGACTTTGTGTTTAACCAACTGAAATTCATTACTATTTTCTAAGTGGGTTTGAAAGGATGCAAGAGTAGTAGCTTGAAATTTTATTGCTAAAAGTTCAATGTATAGAGCAGTTATCTTTGAGAAATCAATATAAGAGTTATGTATTAGCAGGAATTTCAGAGCTTACAGTCTATTTATTAGATGACAATTGCTTTTTAAGTTCTGTTATTTGTATTAACATACTAAAAGACTATCTTCTGACAGTTTGTGAAATGCAAGTTTTCAGATTTTAAACTGTATTACACAGCTAATTTTTCATCTGTGGATTAAAGAAATAAAGGAAAAAAAACCCATAAATCTTACAACTGATGGTGCCTAAAACTCAGCCTTATTATAGGCCAGTGTGTATGGATTTCTCACTGTTGCATTGGCTGGTTTTGAATACCCTGAATAATGGTATTTGGTGCCAGGATGGTCCAGTCCCTGTGGGTGGTGAGGTGAGGTGTGATGTCTGTTGATTTATGTGCACAACTTTGTCAACTCTGAGACTCCTAAAAAATAATTTCTTGCTTATAGACCTGCCTGTTACACTAAAGCAGAAATTTCCAGGCTCTCTGCATCGCAGATTCGGAATCTTAATCCTGTGTTTGGGGGATCGGGACCAGCTCTGACAGGACTTCGTAATCTAGGGAACACTTGCTACATGAATTCCATATTACAGTGTCTGTGCAATGCACCTCACCTGGCTGAGTATTTCAACAGAAACTTGTATCAAGCTGATATTAACAGGTAACAGACTCTCTCATCTGCCTTCATACTTGCCAGTTCAAGAAGATCACTTAGTGGGGCTGTTTGTTTTTTTAAGTAGGAGACAAATGTTAACTTTTAAGCACCTTGACATTTTCAAAATTCATGTGTGTCACTAAATAGGTTTTACTATTAAATAATAATAATAATAATTACAATAATTACCTGGTAATTAAATTACGATTGCCATGTTCAAAAAATATACGTGTACTAGAGTCTCCTAATACCAAACTGAATATTTAAATAGTTCACAAAACATGCTGAAAACAGCTGTACCTTTCAGCTGGAATATGAAACCAAATTGCAGTGCTGACACAGATGAAAATTTATCTCCATCTAACAGCCAGTTTTCTTTAGTCTAAAGAAATTATTTTAAAATTGGGATCATGTCTTGAATTAAAAACATAAATATTAAAACCCAGTTATTTGAATGGCTCAGAATTTTTTTGTCTCTTATTTTATAGGTCAAATTTCCTGGGGCATAAAGGTGAAGTGGCTGAAGAGTTTGGTGTAATAATGAAAGCTTTATGGGCAGGACAGTATAAATATATCAGTCCAAAAGACTTCAAAATTACAATTGGGAAGATTAATGATCAATTTGCAGGATATAGCCAACAGGACTCCCAAGAATTACTTCTCTTTCTAATGGATGGCTTGCATGAAGACCTGAATAAAGTAAGCAATACACTTAAACTATATGTAACTTAAAACAAATTATCTATCTGACACATGATCAAGAGAAATAATTTTTTAAAATACCTTGTTATTCCACAAGAAGATTATGTTACTGCAACTTTGTATAGAAAAAAAATATGAGTATTCAGAATTAAAGTAGGAATTGAGTATGAAATGGTAAAAGGCAGTGGAGGGAGTCAGAAGAATGCTCACTAGACAAGAACTGGATGGCTACACTGACATGTTTAAATAGTCTTGTGAATATTCAATCATATGCTTGCCTATAGATGAGACTTCTTACTTTCATGTACGTTAATATATTGCCGTGATCTTTAAACTTCTGCTATCCAGGCTGACAACAGGAAAAGATACAAGGAAGAAAATAACGATCACCTTGATGACTCAAGTGCAGCAGAAATAGCCTGGCACAAACACAAACAGCTCAACGAGTCCATTATTGTGGCACTCTTCCAAGGGCAGTTCAAATCCACCGTGCAGTGTCTGACGTGTCACAAGAGGTCCCGAACCTTCGAGGCTTTCATGTATCTGTCGTTACCACTCGCATCCTCCAGCAAATGTACTCTGCAGGTATGGGGAACTGGACAGAAACAGCTCCTGGAGTGCAGACATTCCTCTGGCACTTCATTATGATGCTGCTCCTGCTCCACCCTCTGGCTGAAGGGGTTGGTCAGCATTCTGCTTAATTTGCACTGACCTGATAAACATGAGCAGATGAACAGATCTGAATCTACATTATTTTTTAATTCTTTTAAAGCTTAAAGTAATAGGTCTTCCCTTAAAAGTTTTACTTTAAAAGCAGGATAGAAATACTGAAGCTGCAATAGCAGCATGTATATTACTTGCTTTGGTAGGTCACAATGTAAGTATTCTGTGGTTTTAAACAAAATGTTGCCTGTATATTTTGAAGGACGCTAATTAATATCTGCAGTAAAATTTGCTTCCACACATAGATTTAAGTCACTTTTCTTCAGTGAATGTAGGATGCAGGAAACGGATGCAGGTTAACAATCAAGTGGGAAACAAACATTTTTGTTACACTTCCATAAACGCCTGCCATACAAACAATCTCTGTTCGTATTGTGTTTTAGGAATGCCTTAGATTGTTCTCCAAAGAAGAAAAGCTCACTGATAACAATAGATTTTACTGTAGCCATTGCAAAACTCGAAGGGATTCTTCAAAAAAAATAGAAATTTGGAAATTACCACCTGTTCTTCTTGTGCACTTGAAACGGTAAGGAAATGGTGATTGGTGAATATTAATATTAGTATCAAAAGACCAGGCTTTGATGGAACTGAATTGTTCCAGGGCAGTAGCTGAGCATTTTTACTTAGAGAAGGTCTCAGATATATTACCAGTTGTAATGTTGCAAGAATTTTATTTTCATCTGATGCTTCTTTTATAAGGCTGTAATTCCCAAGGCACTTTTACAAGTGATCTCTTGCTATTTGTGCTAAGAAACACATGGGCAAGCATTAACAGAGCTAGGGGTTTTATCTGAGACCACATCCTGGTTAAAAACACAGAAAACAAACATACTTAATACACTTGAATGGCTTGTGAACAACCTGTAACTTTTCATGATGCTTTTTAATTCTCTAGATTTTCCTATGATGGAAGATGGAAACAAAAGCTTCAAACTTCAGTAGATTTTCCACTGGAAACTCTTGACCTCTCACAGTATGTTATTGGTCCAAAGACTTCCTTGAAGAGATACAATCTGTTCTCAGTATCGGTGAGTAACCATGTCACATTTCAAAATCCAGCTGCACTTTATGCCAGGACTCAGGGTAGCCTGTGTGATTCAGCCAGGTTCCCAGGCTGCATTGGAGTTGCAGACTAAGTTGCATTTTAAAAAGAACAATTGGGATTTAGTAAAAAATTAATGTTCTAGATTATTTCCCTAACCAGGGAAGAAATGGCAGCTTTGAAGGCCACTAATCCTTGCCTTACATTCACAGAATCATTACGGTGGGCTGGACGGGGGGCACTACACAGCCTACTGCAAAAATGCTTCAAAACAGCGCTGGTTTAAGTTTGATGACCATGAAGTGTCTGAGATCTCGGCATCCTCGGTGAAGTCCTCAGCTGCTTACATTCTCTTTTATACTTCCTATGAACAGCGAGCAGTAGATATGGCCACGTAAAGAAATATGGGTTATGGAAACTGGTTTTCTTTCTTCAAGAGCAAAGCAGGCCTGGGAATGCATATAAATATGCAAAACTACAGCAGACATAGTCACTGGAGGAGTGGGAGGGCTGCAGCAGGGTGTGTGCCAGCAGAGCTTGCTCGGGCCCGTAGCAGTGCTTAACAATCAGAGACTGATGGGTAACGCTTATGGTCATACTGCCATCTGTGAAACCATTTACAAGCATATTTGCATTACTGTTCATTTAAAAAAGAACTATATTTTTAGTCTGCTCCAAAATTAAATTCTAGCTTAGTCATCTGAAATCTATTACCAAGTAGTTTAAAAATGTCTTAAAATCCCAAGGCATATCTTGGTTTATTTTTTTCTTTCACTGTTAATGGCCTTTTCACATTTCTAACCTTAAGCTTGATTCTACTGTGAATACTCTAGAACGATGTAAACAGTTAGGAATGTAAGTGTACATATTGATTGCATACTTGCACATCAGAGTTATGTATATAATAAAATGTTGTCCTTTTTGTGAGAATCTCTAAAACTCAGAGGATTGCATTTATTTGCCAGCTCTAAGTAATTGCAACACTACTTAATAAAAAAGCAGAGCTGTATTATTTTTTCTGTTAGCTTTTGTCAATATTTGTGCACTTCAGAGTTACTCTAAGCAAACAAGATTTTCCTTTTTAATTTTTTAATATAAATTTTCATGTACACATGCATTAAAAACCTTAATGAAGAAATTATTTAAAAATATATCCTGTTAAATGTATTTTGGGTTTGGTTTTTCATTCTCAACCTGTTATGTAATGATCAAGATTGTACAGAATAACAGTCTGAATCATATTCACACAGTTTAAAGGTTCCCCAGATTAAAAAAATACATTGTTTTGCATAGAGCTGATTAGTTTAAAAACTTTTAGTTTCATCTTACGTATTTCCCTGCTCTGGATTTGGGTTACTTTTCCTTCTCTGATTTGGCTGGCATTCAAAAGTCTTACATTCTGAGCTTTTACCTGTCTGTGTCTGTCTTGCTGATGGAATAAAGACGAATATTGGTTGTTTTCCAGAAGCTTACAAGCTGCAAACAAGTTTGAAGTGCTGGAGGAACAAAAATGACATCAGTAGAACAATGCCTTTTTTTTTTCTTATATATTAATGGTCACTCCATCCTCTCTTCTGTAACACACAGTCTGGTCTGGTTGTGTGCTTTCGCTTCGGTATCCTTCTGTTAGTTCCTGAAAGGCAGCTTAGAACAACCTACTGTACATAACGAGCAGAAAAACAAGAATTTCCAGGTAAGTGCGTCTGTGTGCTCAACATCTGTGTTGTTTTGAGGGGTGCCAGAAGGTTGTCATGGAAAACAACCCTTGGCCCTTGTGCACATGGAGCACATGCACGTTCCTTCGAGGCTTAGAGGCTGTAACTGTCCTTTCTAGGAATCAATTCCTGAAAGACCACCACAGCTGGTCAGTAGTGCACATGCTCTATTTTATTGGTGAAACAGGAGTTGGCTAATGCTGCTGGTGAGTTCTAGGTGCTGCCCTACCCAGTGTTGATTTTCGAGGACTAACAGGGTCTCAGTAGCCTTTGGAGGTGTAGAAGAGGAGATAAGCTGTGTCAGCCTGCACTTCAGAGTCTGGGATCTCAGTGACCTGGGCATCATCAAAGCTGTACCAGTGTTTGGTGACTGCGTGCTTGCAGAAGGCGGTGTAGTGGCCATAATCCAGATCTCCAGCATGGTTCTGTAACAAACAACACAGTCTGTTAAAACCAGAGTCCTGTCCTGTCTACTTACAGGCAAAGCTAGGAACTGGCAATTGTTTTATGTATGCACTTGGAAAAGACGGGACAGAGGGTCCTTTTTGGCCTAGAGCAGGGAATGTTAATTCAAATAAATTTTTTGAAACAGAGTAAATGTATCATGATCATGCTCGTTTATTTTGAAATTGCATTTGCAACCCAACTATTAGCCCTGATACAGGTCACTATAAGAGAGCCCCACTTGCTGTGAGCCATGTCCTTATTTAAAAACAGGATTCATGCAGGATCAGCCTGTGCATGTATTCTGAGGAGTCATTATGTGCCAGGAGTGCGTTCTTTTAAAATTGGGATGTTGGGGAAGGAGAAATAACATCTCTGTCCTTTAGTTATGTACTGTTAGTGGATTATGTCCATGGCAGGTAAAAAAAGCGTACAACAAAACATACATTAAATTATAAATTATTAGATGTGAAGTCCAAACCAACACAAGCTTCATCTGCTCAATGAGGCAGGGCATTCCCAGTAAAAGCAAGGCAAAGCTTACCACTACAGCACACAAGCTGTACTCTGTATTGTTGCAACATGATGCAGAGATGTAGGGAGAGAGATCCAGGTCACTGAACGGGTAGCAGACGGTGGTTGAGAGTTTCCTTCTGTGCTTGTCCTGCCAGGCAAACCTGAAATTAAATTTTGAATGATTTTAAATGACCCTCAACTTCTATTTGCATTGTGGTCATTGCTTAACTGAATTTCCTAAGAGGAGGGAAGACCAACAACTGACTACCCAGCATTTGAAAGAAAGATCTCTAATAATGTTGTGTATTGCAGTAAACTGACAGAAAATGCACTAAACCCACATGAGATTTCCTGCAAGAAAAACAAAGCTCTTGCTTCCTGATCCTTCAGTCAAAGCCTGAAGTCATATCTTTGCATTACTCTTTCTGCATCCTAAACATTATGGACTAAACTGCAGTGCCATTGTCAGCTCTTCTCTCATGCCAGACTCCATCCCTCTTCCCTCTGTAACTTTGAGTACATCACTGCACTTTTAAACATTTATGGTGTGGCTAAGAGCTGCAGCTGGAGATCACGTCCTTTGAGAATGTTGAGAAAAGCAGATGCTGAATGGAAAATTAAATTAGAACTTAAAATAACACAGTTCTAGGAAGCCAAATCATCCCAGATTAATTTTCTTTATAGGTGGAAAGTTGTTAAGAAAAGAATTCTTTAGAATAAAATCAGCATCTGGCTGTGTGTGGCTAGTGAAGTCTGCTAACCCAGGTGCTCCTTTGCTGGTGCACCACTCTGTTTAGGCCTGATTTAGTAAAGAGATAAACAAAACCAGAGTGCCTTAACTGCAGTAGCAGCAAGAGAAACACTGTCAGTCCTGCTCTTGGAAACCAAGCCACAAGCCCTCTCAGTCACCACAGGAACTGATTCACAGGGATCACACAGGGACTGAATGAGCCACTGCACTGGGCTTTAGTCAGTCACTGTGTGGTGGAGTTTTTCTCCCAAGAGCAGATCCCAAGTACGGGGAGAAATCTGGTGGGCTGCAGTACAGGCAGAACACCGTGCATGAGAATTCAGGAATGAAACTTGCATGTTTGACAGCTGTATTTCTGTAAATGCTCTTTTAGTTTTCAGGTATCAAAAGTACTAAACCCACTTATTTGCACTTGGAAACAAGTGATTTGTTTCCTTTCAGGCAAACACAAGTGACACACTTCGTGTCTCACATTACCCAGGAACTGGCTGTGTCCTACCCCACTTAGACTATACCTCTTTAAGTGGAAAATAATGATCTGTGGTGCTTTGGTTATGGAGGCCTTTACTGTTGCATCTTGGTTGCCTCCACACCAGTAGCAGTGGATTTGGTTGTTCTGAGTTAGTGTGTCTGGCTGGAAAAAGCATTCCAGGCAGTCCTGTAAAAGGAGAAAAAACCAACAAACATCACTTGACCGAACAGATCTCACTCCACCCTGAAGGTGCCAAGCAACATAAGAGATGAATTTGCTCCTCCTAACTGAAGTGTGATGCAGCAAGGCTGACATTACAAATTTGCAGGAAAAAGCAGCCAACATTGGCTTCCATTCTCCCTATCAAGGTGGGAAATACTTGGATGACTGGAAGAAACCTTCATGGCTGCTATTGAGTGATCTTAATACCCTCAGCCCCTGGAAACTCGTGAGCATTGTGCCTGTAACCTTACCAGCCTCAGTGGTTCTGACACCAGTTAAGAGACTCCACTTCTCTAGGGACCAGATCCAAGACTGTCCATTAGTGCCCAGGAGACCAACATGACTAAAGGCCTGCATCTTTCCAGTCACACCTATTAGTCTAAGCTTCTGCTCCCAGATGAAGCAGGAAGCAGCAGGAATGTGTTGGCTGTTGTACCTGCAGAGAGCACACTCTGGTGGAAGGAATGGGCAGGGAGAGGATGGTGAAGCTCTCGGGTCTGTGACTGAGGGCTTTGCATGTCAGACACCTGATACCGTAGCTGAGCTGTCCTTCAAATAACTCTGTTATAATAGATGTGCCACTGCTACTCCTTGTGCTTGCTTCTGCAGCAGGGCTCTGTCTTTCTTGGCTTGGCTATACAGAAGGAAAAAACAAACAAACAAAATATAGATAAGAAATTGTTTGAGAAGTGCCTTCACTTGGTTTTAATAGGTGCTGCCCACTGCCTGGGTTGCTCAGTTGTTAAGTCTTGCCACAGAACCTGGCTCTAAAATGCTGTTATTTTACTTGGTGGTTCATACATGCAGAGGAAGATTGATCCATTTTCTGAGAGAAAAGTAACAAAAATACAACAATTCAGACATTTGGTAGCATTAATTGCTTGAAAAGCTCTTTATCAGTGGCTTTGGAGGGGAGAAAGTCATGGGGGCATAGCGGATGCTTGGTAGAAGTTTTCAGGCAGATGAGAAAGTGGAAGAACATTAAGTGTGGAAGGAGCAAGGAGAAGGAGAAGTTAGAACAGTGAAGCTACACCAGCATTGTCATTTAAATTGGGGCTGCAATTTGATGGAGCATTAGACAAGAAGCAAATTAATACTTGTGTGTACATGGGTATGAAATAAAGGAAGAAAAAGAAAGTTTTCCTTTTCAGAAAAGTTCAGAAGAGGAGAACAGCATTCCATGTAATAATTGCCTAAGTCATGAAATGGCGGAGGAAACAGCTGTAGCTCCCAAAACACCACAGCTGGGCTCACCTCCTTGAAAGCCTCGTGGAGGTCATCCAGCACACAGATGAGGAACTCCTGTGCATCATGCTGAGTCCTCCTGCTAAAAGCTGGGTACCGCTTCCCAAAGATGGAATGAAAAGCCTCAGGGGAAACATAATCAAACTCTCCAAGCCACATGTCGGACACCAAACAGCCAAAGGCAGTCGCAGACTCGCCAATCTCCCTTGGAAAAAAGGGGAGAGTTTCAGATGATGTATGAAAAAATAGTGTCTGCCTTTAAGTGGGAGCACAAGACAGAAACTCAGAAAACAGATAAAGGTACAGTAGAGCTTTGGCAGCTGTCGCTTGACACGAGGGACTCTGCAGATCCCAAAGTGGTTGGAATCATCATCATGACCGCAGTAATGGGTATTGCCATCAATATGGCAAGAAAAGCTATCACGATCAAGGACCCAGCAAGGAATCAAGCTGGGCTCTCAAAGGAGAAAGAAACCAGCTGGTGGCAAATCTGACTGGAACTGCCTGTGGGGAGCTGGCAGGTGCCTTGGATATTCCCATGGCAACACATATCTTTTGGAAGGAAAATAGTGCCAAGCAGAAAGCTTTCAGTACTGTGAACACACCAACTCACTCGTGCAGGGCTGTGTTCCACGTTCCTGAGAGGAAATGCTGCACGAGCGGGGTCAGGCTGCAGAGGCACTGCAGCACCGCATTCATGTAGCACGTGTTCTCCAGGTTCTGCAGCCCTGTGAGCCCTGGGTGCAGGCTGCTTATATCTTCCAGCTGTTCCTTGGGGGAATACTTCCATTTCCATGCCATCCTTCCACCTACTATGAGAAAAATCCACAACAGTGGAAATCAAAAATGCTACAGTTTCTTCTTTAAAAATGACATTCGCATTTAT